TGGCTAACATTCTCATTTCACAACCTGTTAACACTTTGATGACGTGTAAAATCCACTCCTGTTCTTCAGTTATCAGGCTAACGGTAACTCTGTGGATTTCATTCAAACTGAATTTGTGATATGTGAAAATGTGAAATGAAGGGGAGGTCAAGGAGGAAGAGGCCCATGTGAACGAGATATTATGTCCTCAGGATTCTTCTCTCATGCGCATCCTTTTTCTTAATTGCATCACAAGACGTCTTCTGTGTCCGGCAGTGAGCTGGACGTCACAGCTGAGTGTACAGTGAGAGGGTCTGTTACACTAAAGGGACGTCATGAAAAGACCATCACTCATGTGGTGGGGGGGGGGGGGGGGGGGGGGGGGCAGCAGAGGAGCACATTAAAATTCATGACAAAAACCTCAAGATGCATAATGATGGCCGCCACAGTGGAGAGGTCTTTGTCTCAGAGGATGAGAAAGATCAAGCCATGAAGACAAGAGAGGTGAATGAAAACCAGATTAGAAGGGGGGGTGTGGGGGGTGTGTGTGGGGTGTGTGTGTGGGGTGTGTGTGTGGGGGGTGTGTGTGGGGTGTGGGGGTGTGGGGGTGTGGGGTGGGGTTACCTTTGTGGTTCTGGGGGCAGTGTGAGGGGTTTCCACTTCTGCAGGCCGCCACCCTGCGCAAAGAGAACAAAACAAGGGAGCGTGTCAGACACCTGAGTGAGGCTGAAGCAGGATTACTCATGAGGGATTCCCCAAAACAACGTTTCCCGACACACCTTTACACATCAGACCGGTAGAGCGAGTCCCGACGCTGCACGCGTGCTTTTGTCAAGTGTTGTTTGTGTTGGTTTTTTTTTTTTTTAAAGCCACTGGGCCATTGTGTCAATATGAAAAAAAACATCTAGAGGTGAAACTAGAAATGTGCGTCTGACTGCTCTTTGTTTACCTCAAGCTGTCAGAAATGGAGAGCACCTAAATTTAGCCTCTACGTCACACAAATCACAAGCTTCTCTGTTGATGACCCATCGGAAATTTAAGAGCGTTTTGGAGCAGCTTACACGGATTCTATTTGAAGGGACAAATAAAACACAGTGGTGAACGAACGCTGAGCCTTTTACAATAAAGGCATTGAATGAAAACCTGAGTCAACAGCCGGTCAGGACCTGGCCCTACCTGGCTGTGTAAATAAGGAAGGCATCAGTCCACTTAATCGCTTACTATCAATCCTCGTCTGTTCCGACTCAATCATGTTCAAATGCAGCTCGTATGAAAGGGCCACTTTGTGCCACAGTCTCTCTGCTAGTAAAATGTTGCTTTCTTTATGTCCCAACACTTACAGAATTGTCCCGCCAAAGTCTCAATGAGTGCATTTATTCCCCCAAAAACCCACAGAGAGCGCTGACGGGGGGGGGGGGGGGGGGCGGGCGTCTGGAGCGGGCTCCCTGTGCCTGGGTGTCGCACAATGCACTGTTGTAGCCCTTCTCTGCAGCTACTGGACACTTATGTATATGTATGTAGGGCTGGGGATAATGTGCCTCTGTTTACAGTGCAAACTCCTTTTCAACCGAGGGGGGGGGGGGGGGGTCCTATTTCTTGAGAATCTGCAGATGAATTTAATCTACAAAAACATTTAACTGAGCTTCACCTGGCACACAATGAACAGGAAAATGTGCAGAATGGCCTCGAGAAGAGAGCAGTTTTTTTTTTTGCCGCTTTTATTTAAGCAAGCCTGGTTAAAGCTGGAGCCATCCTGTAGAGAAGGAGGAACCAGCTGCTCCTCAATAATGCTTTAACTGATCCAGGCAAACAAGTTGTTATCAGGTTTAAACGTTTAACTTGATTACCATAGATTAGGTTAGCTTCAGTTAAAGCGCTCGTATTTTGAAATAAAGGACACATTTAGAGAGCAAAGCCGCACTGACGGGTCGACTAATCCATTCGATGTTCACTATTTGATTAATTTACTATCATGGTTGTGACAGAAGGGGAAAAGTTTTTAGCTTCTTCCTATCCCTTTTGAACATTAACTTTATTATTTGAGTTATTTATTTGTTGCTATGGATCCTGAAGATCCAGTTTTTTTTTTTTTTAGTTTTGTTTTTTTCCTTTATATTTGTGTTGTATTTTTTTTAACATGTTCAATAAATTGACTAATAATACTGATCTGATCTCTGGTTTCTCTCCCGTCTACGACAGTAAACTGACTATGTTTGAGTTTTAGACAAAATAAGATATGAGAAGATGTCATATTTGGTTTTGAAGAACAAAGACGGATACTTTTCAAACATTTTCTGACTTGTTTTAGACCAAAGAATTAATCAGTGAATCGAGAAATGTATCAATCAGTTAGGCAAGAGATATAAAAACATCTCACTTGCAAGGTCAAAGATGAAGACTTCTTCTTAGAATATTTGTCTTAAATCCATCGATTCAAATCTAAAAAAAATCTTATTCGATCATTTGCCCGACTTTTCATTTTGATGTGTTGTCAGCATGCCCGTTTATTATGATTACATAAAATACCTGTGATGCTCTCTCAGCTACCTTCATGAAATCAACAATAATTCCTCTTATGGAAGAGCGAGGATGTCAAACTTTTCCAGCTCGTTCACTTGAAGCACTTGTTGCTTCGTCATCATTAAGTCCACATATGATGTACCGCACAGTTCAAGGCTCCTGCTGACACAGCAGTATAGATCACATTCAGTGTTTGGGTGGTCCACACTTGCCACCACCACCCCCCCCCTCCTCCTCCACTGTTGCCCTCAGAGAGATGCCCTCTGAAGATACACCATGAGCCACATTTACAGACTCACAAGACCACAGATCTGAGCAGACTGCATTCCTCGCAGCATCAGACTTTAACTTTCAGACAAGGTTAAGCAAAGTTCATCGAGTGTCTCGCCTTAAATACATCAAATAGTCTTTCTGGCATGTAATAAAACCACAACATCAATCAAAACGTGCTGAAAATCAACTGATCAAAGCACTGTGTTTGTGTGTTTCGCTGCCTGAAAGCTTGAAAAACTGGTACTAAGCAAGTTCAGGGTGAGTCTTTCTAAACATATTACAAATAATCTCTTACTTTTGGCAGCTTAACTAATAACAATTCAGCAACAAGTGGTGAAAAATGTACAGTCCAAACCCAGAACAAGCACATGACTAGATGAGAAAGGCAACACAATCTGAATAGTCTGCCTGCAGATTGGGATAAAAATGTATGTTAAGCACGTTTGATTGTCTTTTTTTTTTTTTTTAACATTTGGGACTTAACTTCTTCTTTATGATGTCCAAACCCTTTTTACATACAGCCTCCTCCTTTTGTCAGGAAAATAAACAAAACACTTCGAAATGTCACTCAATATGACTCATAAAGGGTGAAATATTATGCCTGTAGATGAGTAAAAACGTGATATTAAGGATGTTTAAAGTTATTTTTTTTTGAACATTAAGGACTCAGAATTAAAAATGAAATACACAAACTAACTGTAAGGGTTAATTGAATAACTCATGGTGACACAAGTATTGATCCACTGAGGCTCAAAGAGAGAGATATAGTTTCTCAAAGTGTTGAATGGACTCTTTACCTTCTTTAAGTTTCGGGGAAGTGTCCCTCCAGAGTAAGCCAGGGTCTTGTAGTTGTAAACCTCGGAGGAGTTTGCCGGTAGGTCTCTGGTCCTGCAGCTGTCCGACTTTGATGAGGTGAAATAAATGTCGTTGTCTTGAGATGCGGGTCCAGTGGTGTCCGGCCCGCTTGAGTTCACCTTCTTCAGCCTCCTGAACGTCATGTTGAGCTCACAAACGACTCGTTCAGAGTAAACAAACAAACATAAATTGTTTTCCTTCAGCGCCGAGAGGAAGATGCTGCCCGGGTCGTTTGAACCTCAACGTGGAGTCAACTCACTACAATGTCACTTCAGTGTGTTTCTTCTGAATAGGCTGGGGGCGGGGACTTCAGTTGTGAAGGACGCAAATGAGTGCCAATAGCAGTGTTGACGTGCATCCTTTATGCTGCTTTCAAGTGCACCTCGGACATTTCGAGATCCGAAATTCGAAGCGACAGGGTTTTGTTTGTTTTGGATTCAGAAAGTGGAACTTTTGGAGGATAGCAAAGGGATTAAGGGGATGAAAAAGCACAAAAGCGCTCCAACAACGACGTCTAATAAGTTTATTACTTTTGTACGCTTTTAAAAAAACATTTTCTTAAACAAACTTTTCCTGTAATGTAATAAGATTTTCGTCTTATTATCGACACAAAAAACGAATAATTCACTTTTAGTAATCTGTTGGATGGCAGTGAAAATGCACGTAACATTTAAGAAAGGACATTTTTGGGGGGAGTTCTTATATTCAAATGGGATTATGGTTCTGATTTATTCTTATTATTAACAGTTAAAAATAATTTTCACTCAAATTAAATCCCAATGTTTTTCTCAATTTAATACAAGAAGTTGGTTAAAAAAAATCTGTGGAACTTTTTTGCCTTATTGTTCACAGCAGAGCATCTTTATTGCTTTAGATCCTGTAGCCTCCTCTATGTATGCACTTCAATGAGACTGAGCAAACATTTTGAACGTGTGACATATTGCTTTAATTTGGTGTCTTATTTTATATGCACACAGCTGTGTGAATCACTCTGACCAGCAACAGCTGTGCAGTTGGCCAAGTTTCCAAACATACAGTATGCAATCAAGGCAGTTGTCATGATTTTTCCAACAATCTTTGAAGGCAGCATTTGTTGCTGGCAGATTAATCCGTCTAAAAGTAAGAGATAATATTACTCGGAAAAAAACATGTAAATATCCTGAGCACTCTTTTTGAAAACAAAGAGATTAACTTGAACGGTGACATTTCAAGTCTGAAAGACGGGAAGGAAACATTTTTTTTTTTTTTGAGTCAGTAGATCATGTTTCTGCCACAGACTAAAAGTGCATGACGCCCCCTTGTGGTGATAACCCCAAACTAGATCAATGTATCAGAAGCACAGGCAAGTCATATTGTAAAGAATCACCAAACAATTAGGTCCATATAATTTATTAAAACGTCAGTGTGTTAATTCAGGCATATAATATTAACACCGTCCACATACACTGAAACGATATGAATGTTAAAGCATTTAAATAAGAACTACATACATTTTGAATGGAACCATAACTTCTAATCAGACGTATCTTTATAAGTTAGAAGTGAACATTTCTCAGATTTTCAAACAAAGTGCGGCCTTTTCTGCGCCCTTGCATACACAAACACACACACACACAGAAACACACACATACACAGGAACAGTAGATTAGGCCTGCTGCTGTACATCCACATGCAGCTACTTTTGGCAATGATTGTCCCACTACTGTTCCCCATAACACTTTCAAGTATCTTCTGAAATGTATGAAAAAAAAGGTAGAATTACCTTTGCCACAATCTGAAATGTAATATTATTAATCCTTCATTTCTGGTTCCAAATGGACAGCAGCATATATCGTCCATTTAAGCCACAACAAAACAACAAATGGGCAGAATCTGTGTCAGCAGAACCTGATTTTTAATTCAGTATATTTGTATTATAATTGCTGAAATTTAAGATTTGACTTAAATATTTGATTAAATCACATGATTTGAATACGTTGAATATTGTATAGTGTGTGCTGACATCACAGTGACCCTAAAGTTACTAATCAAACACTCAGCTGCTAACTTACACCACATGAGCTCATGTTAACAGTACCTGAAACTCTATATCTTCACGAGCTAGAAAGTAAATTTAGCCTGAATTAAAACAGCAAAAACTTTATTTATACTCACTGACAGAACGAAACAACACAACTACATACTTATAAAAAGAGAATTCAATCCATGGTAAACTTGTAGTCCACGATGGAAAGAAACAAAAGTTGTTTATGTGAATTAATCCCATGAAAATGTCTTATGGGCAGAACAAAGGTGCTGATTGGATGAAAAGAAGTGTTGTGACTCGGTGCTCAATTGCTCTTCCTTATCAGCTGGAAGTGTTGATAATAAATTTGAAATTGAATCTGAGAGTCAAAATCATAGGGAGAACTGAATTTGGGGACATTGCCTCCAGACATGGGGCGTGTACTAACCACTAGGCTTATTGTGCCCCTGAGGGACTTTTTAGCGAGGAAATAAATACAGTTTTAAAATAATGTATTCAATTATTCAGTTTCAGAAAAATACAGTTTGAAGTTTATTGGAATTCAGTTTCAAACTAATTCATTTTTAAATATTGTATTTTAGATTCAGTTTTAACAATACAAATTCAAATAAAGTGATTTAAATTCAGATATTTAATTCAGTTATTAAAGTTGAGCAATTCAAAGACAAATATACAAAATTTAAATTCAGCTTCTGCTCACACAAACCTCTGCCCATATGTACCGGTAAGTCTTCTACTTAAGCAATAACCATAGAGAACAGGTTGTAAAGGCACATGAAGCTGAAGAGTCTTCTTGAGCATATCGATATTTTTCACTTTACTTCAGCCAGCTTTAAGTTCCTACAGAGCAACATTTCTACTAACTGTGAAGCAGAAGACAGAGGCAGCGAGGAGTGTTGACTATAAGAACACAGAGTTAATTTGGTCATTTTTGCCACGAAGCAGACATATCTATCTAGAGCTTTGCTTCGGTAACATGTCGACACACATGCAGAAAAGTGTCAGTCTTCTATGTACAATACACCAGAGTGCATGTGGCTGCTCCAGAGCGGTGGTTTCATTTGAAAAATCCAGATGATTTGGCCGGAGGAGCCATCAACATACTGGCTTGGTTCTTGTGTGTGATGTGGATCTGAAAATAAAATAAAAGATGCCCACTCAATTACAATGTAATCAAATACATATATCTCTTAATGGAACATTTGCCTAAAGATTTAATATATGGTCTGTTCAAGACCTGCAAAGATCGTTTGATTAATCTCTTGATTTCAGTACATCCCATTTGTTTTGCTTTTTGTGTCGTTATGATCAAGAATACAATTATTTTGGCAAAAAGAAATTCAAGAAAATCATTCTGGGCTCTTGTTTGGCTGAATTATTCGCCTTTGAGCGGTCAAAACGATTACAGGTAAGCGGTTAAAATTGTAGATTAGTTGATCATTTAAAAAAAAATAATTATCAATTAGAGAAATCTGTGTCTGTGTGGTATTTACCGTGCAGGGAGGCTGCATCCACGGCTCTCCATCTATCTGCATCGGTAATGCTTTCTTTGTCCTGAGGGTAAAGAAGAGGGAGATCAACAAAGTGCATCAGAAAACAAAATCACTGACTCACTCTGTCATTAAAATACTAAAAGCTAAGCCGGTAATGTTTGTTATGTTAATAAGCGGTTAAGTATTATCCTTCAGCTGGTGATCAAAGTTAACGTTAAGCCATTGTCAAGACTAACAGCTCAAAGCCTGACAAGCCTGAACATGTCTGTTTCTCACCTGATGGTGATCTGCGATGTTTTTGCCAGCCTCACGGCGCTCTTCAGGCCCGTGTAGATCTGACCCATCTCCATGGCTCCTTCAAGACCGACCACCTCTAATCGACGGTCGCTGAGATCTGTCAAAAATCATAGATGTGTTTAACATCCAGGAAGTAATATCCCCCAGCCTGAAACCATCGTCTTACTTACAGTTCTTTTTTTCTTTACAAAAATTCAGAGAAGGATTTAAATGAAGTAACTAAGTCATATTGGATCAATTAAAAACACATACTGTTCAATCAATCAATCAATTTTTATTTGTATAGCGTCAACTCATAACAAGTGTTATCTCCAGACACTTTACAAAAAGCAGGTAAAAAGACCTTACTCATTGTTATGCTACAAAAAGCAGGTAAAAGACCTTACTTATTGCTATGTTACAAAGATCCAGCCTATCCATCATGAGCATTTTTAGCAAAGCAGCTAAAGTTACAGTGGAAAGAAAAAACTGTCTTATTAAAAGGCAGAAATCTTCAGCTGGATCCCCGGCTCATGACAAAACAGCCTTCACAGGCCTAGACTGCGCCCGGTTTGGAAAGGGATAGGGGGAGAGATGGGATAAGATGCAGGAAGAGGGATAGGGAGCAAGGCGGTGGGGGGAGGCAAACCGTCCATCAACAATCCGGTGGGGAGGGGGTGTTTGTGTGTGTTGGGGGGGGGGCTGGTATACTGTTATATACATATAATGCAGATACTAAATAAAGAATCAAAGAAACACATTATGGTCAATGTTTTCATTCTAACGATGGATCCCATCACACAAGTGGATCAACAAACTTAATTTGGAAAAAAAATAAAAAAGACCTGAACGTGTCAGAGATCAGGACCATGAGGGGATTTCAGTTAACCAAAATCCAGAATGTGGTAAAAAAAAAAAAAAAAAAATCTCTTAGGAATTTGTTTTTTGAAAAATGTGATTGTTTCCATCAGGGTCACTGTAAAGACCTGAAACTGGATATTAGGCGCACTTTGTTGTAGTGTGTGACATTTGTATTTGTCTGTTTACATTTTTTCAATGTTTCTGTATCGATGTCTCTCCAGGCCACTCTTAAGGAAGTATTTTTTAATCTCAATGGGGATTTTAACAAGCTAAATATAGAATGTAAAACAGGATGGATGTCTGTACCCTCTCTACATTTATCATCTATCAGCTCTAAAAGGAGAATTAATGTCAATGAATGATTGTAAACTTTGCTGTGAGTCTGCTGGACATGTTTTTTTAAACCCTTTTCTTGTTACCTTTAGTAGTGAGCGTTGTCGTGCTCAGAGCTTGTTTCTGCTGCCCTCAAGTGGTCAGAAAAGGACTTGATGCAGGGTTTTGATTGGCAAGCGTTGAATTTATGCAATCAAAGGACACCACTGGTTTGATTACTATGAATGGATCTAAATGTTTGCACAGTTTTCCTCTTAAAGCTGTTTTTTTTTAAGCAATAGGAAGAAGCAGTTGAAGCTTGTTATCACCTTATAAAGTTTCACAGGCAGCAGTTTCCTATTTACACATCCAGCAACAGACGCAGAGTAGCAGTGGCATTCTTTCTGGGTCCTGTTTATGTCAAACTGACAAATGTTAGTACAATGTTCACATTCCTTTTCGCTCTGTTTTGGTCTGTCTGCCATTTACAGCTGGACAGGTACCGGTTTATTGGCCAGCAGGTTTATCGGGACCTTTCTGCTAAATGATAATTATAAATGGACTTGTGCTTGTATATATATATTTCTAGTCTTCTGACAACTCAAAGTGCTTTTACACGGCAGGTCCCGTTCACATACTAATGGTGGAAGGTGCTATGTAAAGTGTCCATCAGTATTAACTAATCTATTCATACACATTGGACACATTGGACATGTGGCTGCAGGAGCAGGGGATTGAACCCCGACCTTCCAGGTTGAGAGACGACCGACTCTACCACTTAGCCGCAGTCGCCCCAAAAATGGCTACCTGCTGCTGCTGGAAACCATCTTTGAATGAGCAGAGTTTGTAGACTGTGAAACCAAAACAATGACATTGAGGGGAACTTCAGAGTTTTGGGGTCATACACGTGACCCCCCTCAGGCTCTTGATAATCTCACATGCACTCCCTCACTACAGATGAAATACCTTGGGAGGTCACTTTGAGGATTTCTGGATCGATGATCACTTCAGGCTCTTCCTGACTTGTCAGTCCCTTCGTGTCAACTTTTTTGGTCTCACCCCACAGGTTGGAGCCACCATGCATGCTGGGAATGTTTAGGACAGCAACTCCCTCTAGAGACAGGCCGCTGAGATCCAGAGGAGTACCACAACACTGGAGAAAAAACACATCAGTCCAAAGGAGAGACAGCATAAAACATCAGTGAGACTGGTTGTGACAAAAAGTTGATTTTTTCCACACTATATACGGCAGAATAAACACCTGGCTCTGGGAGTGTCACCCACCTAGGGGTGAAACAGTTTCATTTTGTAAGAAAAAATACAAAGTGTATACTTGCTGTCGTGGTAAAACTAATGCTATTTTCTCACCTCAATTGTCAGACTTTCGTTCAGTTTCTTGCAGGAAGCAGAGATGGTTTCTGAAGTGGCAAATTCAAAATACCACAGCTTGTTCTTCATTCTGCAGTCATGAAAAAAAGAGGGTTTTTTTTAAGTTTAAGTGATATTTTGTTTTCACAGAACATTTTCTGGTTTCAGCACACACAGCTCTTTAGATGGAGGAGGAGTCAGGCTGCAACGCTTGCTGCCACAGACATCTGCTGTCGCCACCTGCGTTCAGTTTTTTTTTTCAGCTTTGACAAATCCGTTAGAGCAAGCAGGAAAAATGAAAGTACAGACTGAGGCCAACACATTGAAACACCATTCCCCAGCTCAGCTGTGTTGTTTTGGATCTGAACAAGTGTTGTATGTAATTTAGTTAGGTAAGTCTGTTTGTTTTTCCGTTCCAGAGGAAGTGCCTTAGAGCGTGAATATGTTGCAGTTTAACACGTACCTGCTGTTGAATTTCTGGGGATGTTTCTCCCTCATTGTGTGAAACCGATGAGCAATGGAGGCATCCTGTCAACACAACACAGAAATGATTCAAACGCTGGACTGAAACTATTTTGGTTGTGTTTTATGTTTTAGAGAAACTTACAACTCCGATAGAGAAGTAGTTGTTAATGATTTCATACGGCACTGGGTCACCCTTCTCCTGATTCTCATCTGTGATGACTTGCACACTCCAGCGGTCCATCAGCACCTGAGAGCTGCCCTCAATGTCTTTGAGAATACGACTCAAATCCTCACCATCATATCCTTCAGAGAAACCCAGAAACATGATTCATTGTCTTACAAATGAACAGAATGAAATACAAGGAGAGCCATTATTTTCCTGAATCAGATTTGCAGGAACACACAACAGAACATTTGCAGCTAACAGTTTGGTTTTTTTTTGTCCAGAAGTAAAAACCTTCCATCCTCGTTCACTTCTCACCTCCTCCCCATCGCAGACATCGTGCGAGGTCATTTCCTGTGCCAAGAGGAAGCACAGCGACAGGTGGCCGGGCGAGCAGATTGGCTTTGTCTGATTTGAAGAAAAGTAAGATGAAATGCGTCATACTGTTTTTTGGAAGCTGACGTGTGCCTTTTACAGGGCTTGTTCCAACTATCTCACCTATTGCGTCAAGAATCCAGCCAACTGTACCGTCTCCCCCGCATACCAAGATCCTATAATCCTCCAGATTTCTGAAGAAACTCAGCCTGAAAGACAAAAAAAGAAAGAAATAATTTAAGAAGTTCTCTTTATTTAGATCTGTATTTCAAAACAATATTTATTTCCTTTACATGCTGACTAAATTCTGAGGTTACTCACCCTGGTCCAGGTCCACCATTGGAAAGGTTGTAAACCTGCCGTGGATTCAGTAAATACTGAAATTTGTTCAGGACTCTGAAATATACAAGACCAGGCTAAACAGTGGCAATCTATTGTACATTTGTTTCTTTATGAGAGTGTTCCTTTTGGACTTACTTTTCTCCCTGCTTGCCTCCACTTTTAGGGTTGACAAACACAAGGAGAGGATGGGTGTTGGGCACAGGGCTGATCTGTTTAATGATGGGAACATGTTATAATTATTGAAGGGGGTAAAAAACACATCGACAAAAACCTTCATAAGGGAGATTAATACCTGAAGCACTTGTCCATCAGGAGTAGTATTGAGCTCGCTGTCATCAGTTGAGCTCGAGCAGCCATTCTTCACATTGTTTGGCCTTTCCTTCAGGGATCAAAACAAAGGCACAGAGTGAACAAACAAGAGAAAGGTAACACAAAGAAAAACCTGTATACACCATAGCTGTCGAAATGACACACAGGTGAAAAAAGTTTACCAAAAACAGAAAAAACATCCTGCGGCTGATGTTCTGCGTTGGTGTGACAGGCGCTGTTTGTACTGTATATGTGCTTGAGGATAATTCTGTACCTTTACGACAGGATATATGGCCCATGGAGGCAGGATATGGTCTCTGTGCAGCCCACATGTGCACTCTATTGGCTCTTGTTCGGCACATTCATCATGACGCTGTAAAACAAAAACAGTGATACATTACATAAAAGACCAACAGCGACGACCTCTGACAGGATCCAAATTCATCTTTTTGAAAGAGATTTTTTTTTTTTTTCCATCTCTGCTTCATTTACAGCTGAGATGGGAAAGAATGACAAATGGAGAAGAGAAAAAACAGCCTCCATGACTGAACTTAAGCCCAAAAGCATTTGAGCAAGTGTGTCTGATAACCGAAATGAACATTTCATCCTCATTAGAAATAAATCTATATTCCTAAGAAAACATTCACACATGGAGATGCTTCCTCACCATTGTGTGGCACCACACACAGTGTTTTCCCGTTAAGCCTTGGTAGCTCTTGATCTTCTTCTGGCACTTATCACACCTCGAGTCACAGTTCCCACTCACCCAGTCGTGCGCTGGAACCTGAAATGTGTGATGAATGTCTCAACGTTCACATAAGAGCACTCAGACACAGGACTATGTCTAATTTAGATTGTGAGTGTCGCCGTTAATGTTGTCATGGAGACATTGGCATACCCCTGTTTCTTTCTTTGACTTCACATACGTCTTGGTGCAGGGTGCTGGGTTCCTGTTAGCACAGCGTCCATGGACTGTGTATTTACAGCCTGCACAACAACATGTAGCCCAGCTGTCATTTGATGTTTTTAAAGATTGTTCATCTATAAAGATCCTGAAATTCTCAATTTTGTCACCACAGGTTCAGAGATGAATGTCAGCACAGTGTCACCCTCTTCTGGTAACACATGATACTCACAGGTGCAGCATAGTCCCTGCTTCCTCAGACCCAGCAGCATACTCTGGCACACATTGCAGTAAACAGGCTTGTTGAAATGTTTCATCCTCCAAAGGTGCTGCCCGTCCTTCTGAGTCATCTGGTTGTTTAGAACAAGAAAGAAACATCATGGTCGTTGCTAAAGTGCAAACTTTTCAGCATTATTGAATAGAAAAATAAATGTCTGCAACAAAAGAACCTTACATCTTTAGCTTTGTAAATGTTTTCATCAAACTACACAAACTCATCAATAACGCTTCAGGGACTGGGCCTGCATTTCTCAGTTAGTTTTCAAACCCACTCATGAAAAACCTTACCTAATGAGATTGCTGATTATACAGTATATAGTAGTTGTTCATGCCGTGGCATACAATGACATCAACACTGACTTTAATCTGAATTTCTCGACACAAGATTATATGGTTGCTTTCAGTCTATTTGTTTTTACAGGGTGAACAGTGCTCTTATCCAGATTACACGCAATATTTTCCTGGACATGATGCATCAGCCTATCACTTACAGCATGAGGCAAAGCGGGAAACAGACACAGCAACTGTGAGGGGGCAGAATTCATGCACCCCAGGCTTCAAATGATCATTGGTTGCTAGAAATAGCCTGAGGGGAAGTCCCTAGCCTTGTTGAAGAGGCCAAGCCCAGTGTCAAAGTCCAGCTTGTGATTTTAGATCAACACAGTTATCACAGAGACACAAAGTTTATCAGTAAATGGCTTTTACGTGCACTGAACGACACCCAGAAAATAGATATGATCTGCACCAAGCATTAAAATGATTAATTTCTGAATTCAAATGTAGTGCATCAGCCTTCAGATTGCTATATTATGCGAGCACTCTGTGAAATACGGGCACTGATTGTGCAGAGTAAATGGAAAACACTAAAGCACTCGGCTGGTGCAGAGCTTGCATGAGCGGAGATGACATTACCACACCCTGTGTTACACTGAGTCGGCAAAAAGACTTTTATAGACGGGGAGGAGGCGGAGGACAGAGGAGAGGCATGCAAGGCCAAGATTTCAAAAGAGCAGTAAAAGTAGATTTTATACCACTTTGTGAGACACCTGCTGTAAAAATGAAATACATCGGAGATAGGCTTTTGAAGCCAACTCTTAAATGAGAAGCGACAAATTCTGCATCCTAAGTACCTTTAGACCCAACAGGACCAGCAAGGGAACGTTGTTCATGCCTCCCTCCACCCACTCCTCTAGAGACACCGTGCCGCTGCTGTCAGCATCAATAGCGGTCATCATGTCCTTCAGAACCTGATGAAATGATAACAGTTGATTATTATCCAATCAGCATTCACTATGTATTACTTAATGATGTCTTAATGTGATTTATAAAAGGTCCCACATGAGAATTTTGTAGGTGCAGACAAGCTTATCATTTCTTAGCAAATGAGTAACAAGTACTGCCATGTACTTTATGTTATAGTGTTAAACTAATGTTGAAATCACATTTTCAATTCCTCACAGTAAGTATCTTTATTCTCGGGACATTATCATTTGAGAGGGAACTTGAGGGACTTACGGGCCTCAGCTCGGACACGTCCCATCCGAGATATTCCGCAGCATGCATCATCTGAGCAATAATCCTATCCACTTCCTGTTCAAATGAAACAAAAGACTGCGTATTAGCAGTGTGGCTGACACGATACAGTCAACTAAAAAGTGATAATAACAGCATTCAGTCTGTAATTAAATCAGAAACCCAGAGCTAAGCCATTTTGTTTTTTCAATCTGTAGACAATCACATCTTAAATATTTTCTCAGCAACTTACAGAGCTGTCGAGGACTCCGTTGCCATCTCTGTCATAGAGCTTGAAAGCAACTAAAGAGAAAGAGGGGGGATTGAAAGTGGAAATGGTGAATCAAGTCAACACTCAAATTATTTTGGTCATAATAGAAACAAAGGACTCACACTCCAGCTTGTCCCTGGGCTGGCCATCCTCCAACAGGGAGAAGTAACATGAAACATCCTTCAGAAAGACCTCCTCTACAGGGGAGGGAGGGAGGAGAGAGAAAGAGAGAGCTGGCTGTAAATACTCTGGTTACCATATCCGCACAAACAGTATCTCACAGGCATGTGGTTAGAAATGAATTAATGCCAAATAGTCCGTGGCGTAAATTGATAAGGGTCCTGATGCAAAGTAGCGTGGAGGCAGTGAGTTGTGTAAATACATGCTGTGTTATCTCACTGGCACTGTCTTCCTGGGTGGGTTCAGAGTTTTGGAAGGAGCGGAAGAGTCGTTGGCAGAGAGCCACAGGGAAGTCCTCCACTTCTAAATACGTCTTCAAAAACAGACGGAAGCCTTCTTCGTCGATGCACTACAAAAAAAAATAAAAAAATGAATGGGAGAGTCGTATTTTGTTTACAGTGGCTTCGTGAAACACATTATGAAATGTCTCTACTTTTTGCAGTGTGTGTGCTGTCAATCAATCAATCAATACATCTTTATTTGTATAGCACCAATTCATAAAAATGTTTTACATCAAGACAAAAGAGCAGATAATACCGTACTCTTTGTTATGTTGTACACAAAGACCCAACGTTAATCCATCATGAGCACTACAGTGACAAGAAAATCTTCCTTAAAGAGGCAGAAACCTCGACATAACAGAGTCATGTTGAAGAGCCATCTGCTGAAACTATGTTGGTCTTGAAAAGTGGGATAGAGGGAGACGCAGGAAGAAGGAGAAGGATAGAGACAAACAGAACAGCAACAATGAATAAGATGGATTTGTAGCTACAATGTCAGTAATAGTGGGAAAAGTATGTGTAGTATGGCAGTTACAACCTGGTATGATAAAAGACTGATGGGGGGGGGGGCTGATAATTTTATTTATAGAGGTTGAAGTTGAGCAGCTCTAAGATTCACTTTAATATTTATATTAATGATAACAGATGTAAGGCAGCCGTGCGTGGTGTCTTCTGCATGTCTGTTGAAGATAAGGGAAGATTACAACCACACGTGAGAATATTATACATCTGACATGTGGCTTTTCTCAGAACAGCACTGTAACTTTGAGCTTGAGAGGCGTGTAAGTGTATCCAGTGGGGGGGGTGGGAATGCTTTTGAAATCCCAAGAGGTTTCCCATGAGCCCACAATACAGTTTGATATATGATATATGCAACTCAGGCTTAAGTTTAAAAGTTGAAATGTCTTCTGTCCTTACTTATGAGAGGAAGTCATTATAAAGTGCAATTGCAGTAGGTTAAAAAAGTATTTTTAAATCTGTCCTTTTTGCAGCTTATCTGCACGGTGGACTGATTTTCACGTGACAGTGTTAAAAACTAAAAAAGAATAGACAAAAAAGAAAGCTCCTGATTCAAGATTTCAGTCCATCTGTCGGGCCTGGAATCTGTCCCTCTCACATGACTATATGCTGCAGGGCTAACAAGCAAAAATCCCTCGATAATGGTGAACCACAAACCCAATTCTTGTTGACATTATTCCATTTCTTCCGCTGATACCCTGCAGAGCAGAGCTGCCCCAGTAATAAATAATGTCACCACAAGACAGCCAGATCACAAAAGAAGAAGGAAGAGGGAACAAAAGGGTAAGGAGGCTGAGACCAAGAACACTGTATCATTATTCTGCACACTCTTACATTTAAAAAAATACCTTCATGGTTGTTTGTGTTCTAATAGCTGTTAACTATTACTTTATGGAAGTATCTGTCTTTACTCCCATTAAAAAAACAATTTCCTTCCAATTATTTCATTAAGATTTATGTGGACAATTTAACCATCAGAATTTACTGCGCTTGCTTCTTGCAAAATGAGTTGGCATTGTCACCGCTGCTGATGTACAGTATTGGAAAGATGTCTTTTCAATCACATTTGAGCTTACACTGCATGAGGGCAGCCAGCTCACCGTTCATAACAGCCTTGCTGCGTGGGCAAAACCAAGGAGTTCATTTACATTTGAAACCTCGCTAAGTTGAGCTGAAGCTGTTTCTCGTGGACAGCTTAGTCAGTGATCTATGGTTTTGACTCTAATGAATCAGTGTAGGATAATTAATAACAGCTCATTATACATGAATCAAATACTCATTTCTCACTAATATGCTCCACTGAGAGTTTTAATTCAGTTTGGTTAAGCGCCTCATAGCTGACATCCCTGTAAGAGAGTTTTGCCAGGAGTGGAGCTGATGGTGAACAGCAGGACACGGCGTCCCCTCACCTCTCCATGTCTGTGCCGGGCCAGACTGCCATCTGCATCAAATTCCCTCAGCACATCTTTCACCTTCAAGCTGCAGTCTGGAAGCAAAGAGACAGAAGTCACACAGGGAAACACATGTACTTCAGTACTTTGTGGGAGCTCTCAAAACCTTAAAACTCAACTGTATGTTTAATACATATTTCTGAAATATCACGAGTGTGCACATGAATAAAAGAGATCTGAATGCTTAACTGAAAAAAGAAAAGAATGTGGCAGACTGCTACCTCCTCTAGATATGAGATTCATCATTATCATGAGTGTGTACGTGTGGGTGGAAATGGAAGTAAGGAGGGGTGCAAAGCACTGAGAAGGCTGCCTGCCCGCCCGCCCGCCCCCCTGTCTGTACTCACATTCAATGTACTGCTGTAGCTGGATAAAGTCGACAGGGCTCAGTTCCTTCACCTCTGGGTTTGTGGGGGTGGACATGGTGCCTGCTACTGCACTAACTGCCTGCCTGTGCACAGGCGAGAGAAACAGTGAGATACAGACAGAGAGAAAAGAGGAGGTGGGTGCACAGTAGCCTGCTTCTTTGTAAAACATAAAAGCACGGCTGTGAGCAAAAGATAGCATCTTCCAACTCTGTAAAAAAAATAAAACAAAATTCATGATTGTTGACAGAGAGAATTATACTCAACATCCAGCGTTTGAGTGAAGCAGTTTGTTACTTTCAAACACAAGGAATGATTAGAGTTGTTTTATTGCTGAACACCAATATCGACTTTGTTGAATTTTCATAAACCAAAAGTCTGTCTGTGAAACGTTGAAGATTTAATGTTTTCCTCGTATTATGCGCTGAAATGCCCAACAGGAACACGTTGTCATGTGTAAATACTGTACGTAATGTGTATGTAAGTATATACTGTATATCTGCACTTATGTGTATGTGTATTCATGTATGTGTGAGGATGGGTATATGTATGTGAGTAAGTGCATGTGCAGGTAAAACAATCGTTCTTTAAAATGTGGAACATTGACAACATATCATGTCACAAGGAGGTTTACACCAGACCAACCCTTTGAAATATTTGTGAATATTTTGCATGTGGTCCTGTTACCTATGGCACCAATAAAGGGCTTGTCAGTCCATAGTCTATTTCTGACAACATGAAAATATTTTAGGATCACATGGCTGCATGAATTGTATTCTTCATTTTTGTTTTTTATTTTATTTATTATTTTTATTAATCAATTATAATTGATTGATATGTTTGTATGTTTAGAGTTTTTCCTTGTATTTTTTTCCCATTGCCTGTTTCTGTTTTAATTTAAAAAACCCTTCAATAAAAAAACAAAACAAAAAAAGTAAATACTGTACATATTTAACACCTTGTATCAGTATCATGTGGCCGGTCTCTCAAACTGTGCCAGAAGTCTTGAGGAAATGATGTCAGGCCAAAAGGTACCCATGGCACTTCAACTCCAGGGAGTCTCTGCACCCAAAATCTCTTTCCATAAACTCACTGGCCCATATGTGATTTATAAAACACCAGATATAAGTATTGGAAGTGTCTGCTTCAGTTGAACACAAAAGAGTTCAGTCAAGTGTTTAACACACAGGTTGAAAAAGAATCTAGCTGAGAGGATGAACAAACCCAACTGGCTTTTCAGGGGCCTTCCCGCCAAACAACAGAAAAAGACTTTCCAGTAAATGTCATGCAAGGCTGAAAGTGCGCATGAAGCTTCAATCAGACAGAGAAACATTTCATCACAATCAAAGGTTATAATTTATTTAGAATCCAAAAAATTGCTCTGGCATGTTGTTTTGAAGATGGAAACATAAAGTCGGACGTACATTAAGTGAGTTGTGAAGAACGCTTTCAACAGAGGCAAACATGCTTTTAAGACATAATGGAAGGGGATTCCTTAACGACAGGAAAAGAAACAGACAAATGTACAGCGAATGAATCATTGAAGAAAGAAGAGGAACAAGTTAATGGAGGGGGAGAATGTTACCTTCTTGGCATCCGGTATCATGCTCTTTGTTTTACAGATGCATGACCATGAAATGCTGCTATTAGATGTATAGGGGTCAATCAATGAAGAACTTATGATATGACTAATGTAGTCATGAATATGTATGTGGAGGAATGATGTGTGCAGAATAAATGTGATATCTGTAGGAATGTCTATCAAAAGAAACGTGCTTGTCTGATTCATTAAAGCTTTTCTTCAATGGTACTAAATAAAGAGCTCTTATTCATATCAAAGAAAGCCAATGTGCAATAGTTTAACATGTTAAAAACATTCTTATATAGGAGACAATGGTTGTTTTATACGTTGTATTGCAACAGTCGCAGTCTGTAATGATCAGAAGTTTATGTTGGCAAGTGGTGGCTACTTTGAGATCATTGCTGTTTAACTAGCATAAGTGATTTCATTTGCAAACTTTATGACTCATCTTCTTGAAATCAGGGGTGTAAGAAAATATAAATACATTTGAGAATCAAGTATGGAATCGCCATATTCTTGCATATATACAGTCCTAATTGTTACACCAATGCTATTTTTCATTAGCTGTTACTGTATACAGCAGTCTTTGCTTGTTATACAAAATTGACATTTCTTTAAAACGAGCCTACAATGACTGTAGATGACTCGGCGCAGTAATAGAACATTTTGCAGTCCACGCTGCAAAGTTCAACATTTTTTAATGGCAGTTTGTTTTGAAATTTATCTGAGTTGTGCAACTAATCCATCACAGCAAACTGCATTAGAGGTTTCTGTAAATTACATTACCATTACGGGGTAGTGCAGTTTAGACTGTCCAATCAATCTGCACTTCACCTGCATTACCGTGCAACGTTAATGGACTTTTGGAAACAATAAATGCGTCAGTCTTTTCACTCTGCTGATTGATTCTAAAAACTGTTTGTGACAGTAATGTGGGAGAGGCCGATTCTGAGTTTGTAACTCTGCAGGATGCTTTGGAAAAGGGTCAGCGGAAGATAATAAAAAAAAAACACTGGTATGGTCCTTTAAGAGCAGCCTTTGGATTAGAACCAAATATCCAGAAGCAATTTTGGTAATTCCCCACTTGATACAATGTGATCATTCATATCAGAACATGATAAATAAACTGAACCGAGTGTAACAGTTTGAAGAGTTGGCCCTGTGAATCTAATATCATGTCTGATATCAAGGCTGTTCTATCATCAGCTATACAAAGACAAAAGGACAGCGCATAAAAGATGTGTGCGATGAAAAGGCTCCACTGTAAATGTGTTGTTCACACTCGTGTCGGCAGGTGCTATCACACAAATTAAAGTGCAACCAGTGCAGGTATCAGTGACAGCTACTGTACCTTCACCGGACAAAAAATCTGAGTACTTCAAGGACAAAGAACGTACTAAGAAAAAGAAGTAAAATAATCTGAAATAACACCCACTCCTGCATGTGATCTGGATGCATTTGGGCTCTGAAAGGTTCACACTGTCCTCTCTTAATTCACTCAAAAGGTCAGCAGCTTTGCTTTGCAGCTTTGTTTATGTAACCTATCAGGTGGGTTTGGACTGTATCAACAGCAAAGTGTGAACATGAAGGAATAATGAAAAACCATCTGCTACTAATCACCTGACCTAATTATTCTAAAAATATGCTCCTGGAAATAGCCATAAAACACCTCTTATTTTAGATTTCTCCTGGGTGTTGATTTTTCTTTCCTTGGGGCTTGATGTCGTGAGCAGCATCAGCGACAATTTTTTCTCCTTACCAACAGTGTCATCATCATTATTGTCTGGTTCAACAGCATCTCAGGCCTATCTGAGTAATCTGATTCCTCACTTCCTGATTCGATAATGATTTGCATGCATGATCCAGAGTGGGAATTAGCAGCTGTAAGTACATGGAGCATACCCTTCACTTAGTAAAGGAAGAGATGAATGGAGTACTTACTGCACACAGAGCTGGTTGTCTCCTCTCTGAAAAGACCAATAAGTAAGATATCTACTGAATTCAATCATAAAATGACCTTACTATATCATCAGACATTAATGAAACGTGCTATGTTGAGGTGCAGACTTCTCTGGCAACAATGCAGCAGCCAGTATGTCCTCCTTCTACATGAAGTTTTGATTCGAATGGTCAGCATTTGTTTTGTCCAGAAAAAGTAGGTGGTTTTAAGGCTCCCCCACACGGCTGTTTTAGACGCCCCTCAGTTTGCCAGATGTGAGACCAGTTATCACGGCAAACCAACAGGTGTTGCAGCGCTGGAAGTGGGCCAGGGCACTGGATGTAACTGATTCTATCCGACCTAAAAAGCCACTGCATTTTACTAATAAGCTCCACGACCAGAAATGTGGTAATTTAGGATAAATAATGGAGATGCTATTGAAAAATAGAGAGAGGTTGGTCCACAGAATTGTTTTAAGAGCGATGGCTAAACACTGAAGCTTCTGTGGCCACGACATGGCAACTTCTGTGTGCATCGAGTCTAGGGAGGGGGAGGGGGAGGGGAGACACAGCTCCCTCCAATGTTTTGAATTTGGACTGAAGTACCAATTTTAAAACTCTAGGTGTCAGAGTTAATATTTACAGTCTTGAGTTAAAAAAGAACAAAGACATCATCAAAATGCGCTAACAGGATTCAATTCAAATACTTCAGGAGGTCTGAGGAATGTCTGTTAGGCCCTACAACAGACGACGTGACAGACTACTTCTAGCATGATTCTCTGTGAGGTTTCACAGATGGCCAAAGTTAAATGGTGGATCATCTATGAGGCGTGAAGATGTTTCATGTTCAAGACTATGTCACGTTGACAGGAGAAAAGTGTAAATGTTAGCTAGCCGGAGTCACAAGTAATCATTCAGTGTGATTCATGGTGATTCACTCTACTTACTGACAGTTTGAGGTAGAATTCGGTTTGAACAAAATGTTGCAACATAAAATCAGTGTAGAATAAATATTGAAGAACATCCACCGAGTCGAAAATCAAAAGAGCTGCAGACTCGTGGGCCACTTGCGGTTAAAATAGCAGTTAAAAAAAATAAATTTAAATGTTAAAGTGGTTCTACAAGTAGCAACAGCTTGTGAGAGCAACATCTACTCCCCCGTAAACCTCTGAAAACCGTCTGTTCAGAGCTTGGCATCCGCCTTTACTTTTGACCACTCAACTGAAAACAACAACCAAAAGCAACTGCTTTAAAAAAAAAAAAATCACACAGTGAAATAATTAGAGAATCAGAGAGGACAGCTCAGTGGGCATTTTCCTTCACACAGGCCCTGTGTATAATTATGAAACCTGTCATGTCTCATTGTCTCACTGTCAACAACCACAAAGTACTCTCTTTACCAGAATCATTCAAGTTACACGTGGGGATGACCTTTTTCAAGGCTAATGTTTGTGCAAGCTGTCATAACACCCACGCCTTGTGTCAAGGAAATCTGCTGTTTTGCAAAACTTGCAGGGTGCAAATCTTGACTCTGTCACACTCTGTGGTTGGAAAACACTGCGCTGGTTCCCTGAACAGAGGGAAGTCTGCATCTAACGTTGGTCCCTTTTTGTCTGTGACTACAACAATTCTCTTCACTGATGTGTGTGCAGACTGCATCGGGTCAAAAGAAGGGGGAGGACAGACATGCTTGGTTGCTATGGAAAGAGTTTCCCCTCCATCAGCTGCTCTCTCTGTCAGAGTGCTGCCACGGGTGACTAACAGGTAGGAGGAGGCACTGGCAGAGGGAGGAAGCTAGCCAAAGGAAGGGGGAGCCCAGTCAGTCAGTCAGTCGCTGCCAGTCTTCCCCCTCCAGCTCCACCTCCTCCCACACCATCAGCCTGGTTTGGCCTTCAAAACTAGAGGCCATACTCTACATTGCATTCCACATGCAGATGCTACAGTGACTCATTGAATGGACAGGGGAATACTTTCCCACTATAAATGGATTGTTTGCTCAAGTGGTCACTTTGAGAGAGCAGACTCAGAGGGTACAGCCCAGAGGTAGTATTTGTCTTTCTGATGATACTATCTGAGAAAAAAACATCCTCACATTTTTGTGTCCCTACAGCTAGTCTGTAACAACTACTTCCCCTTGTAGTTTTACATGCGCACTTTAGTTCAGCATGGTGTTTGTTGTAATGTGCACTGGCATGTGATGTCTTTTAGAAGCAGAGGATGAGAATTAACTGAGATATTTATCTATTAAAGCAGCTATAAGAAACCATGGTGGCCCCCGGGGACAAAGGTGGTTCTCCAGTGTTACATTTTGAAGTGGCTAGCATGTGAACTTGTTTGGAAAGTTACAGAACAGATGTAGCCATTTTTTAAGATCTTGCCTTGAATGTATTTGGGCTCTATATTTAAAAAGTATCTTTTTTATGCTTCCTTTCAAAAGACATATATTCCACTCACGGCGAAACTTTTGTCTGTGAAAATGTAAACATGAGCTCACTTGGCTTGCATGCGGTAGATGGCTTTGTTAGGGTGAGTCAGACCCAGCGACAGGCATTAGAATACGTATAATAAAAACAGTCAAACCCCACACTGATAGATGGGAGCTCTTGAAAGCAGAGCTTTAACAAGCAGGCTTGAATGTATTGAAAAGATCACAGCAGAGCATGCTCTATTAAAAAGGGATTCCCTTGGTCTACTACTGTATGGTAACAGGAGAATTAAGTGATACGTAGGCTACAGCAGGCCCCAGTTGTTAGAAACATGAGAGGAGTTTAACACATTAAGCAAGGATTACAAATGAGACAAAAACACGAAAGGGAAAAAAAAAAAGAAACCTAACAAAAGACATTCACCACAGCATGAATCACCGATTTCTTGGAAAATGTAGGCGAGGCTTTTCTCACTCACTTGCTTCAAAGCGAGGACTGCCCATCACTCTGAGTTCAGACTTGAATGTGACTTATATAATAGCTTCTTTTTTTTTTTGTTGAAGCGGCCGTGTGGAACATCCTGCTGCTTTCAGAAATTAAGAAAAAAACTCAAACCTGCCCAGACTTGTGAGGGCGCATGCCGTCATAAAACAGCTACACGGTTTAAATATTAACACGTATCTGGAGTCTCGTCTTGTTCGTCCATAGATCTATACACAACGGAAAATGCAACAACATTAAATTCAACAGTTTTCAATTGAACTCAACTGAAATACTTATCCACTATAATGCCGGTAATTGCGTTTATCTGATCATATATGCTCATGTAAACTATTTTCTTAACATGATCCCAACTAGAAAAGACTAAGTGATAAATGACAGCATTTAACACTCAGCCTTCACAACAGAAAATGCCAATCCAATTTGACATGTTAATACAGTATTGACTTATAAAACGTTATTTATGGATGCTATGCATACTTAATGTGATGATATAATGGAGGCAGAAAAGGCCACAATGAATGGAATAAAGAACTACTGTATTAAGAGAAGTGAATCAGTCTGTAAACAAAAGGCTTTCCCTTTCTAAACACGCTTGCTGTGAAAGTTAGCAACAGTTAACATGAGCCACAGATCCCAAAATGGGCTAAATGCTCGCTCATATACGGCCTCTGATGTAAACATTAACTACGGGCTAATTGACCTGACTACAATATTGATTGAAATCGTGAGGCCCTGAAAACTGTCCTGCAGCTAGAAACAGATGAATACAACTGAGCCTCTACAAAGATTTGAAAAAAATAACCTGCTGGCAATTAAAACAGGGTCTACCAGCAAAGTTTCACCTTCAACTAAAGTGACTCTGAAACTGCACGATCAGGCAAAACAAAGAAGGAAGAACAAACAAACTGATTAAGTATCAAGACTTTCCTGTATGTTTTGTTTTTTCCAGTTAACATGGGGGCTTGTATATTCACGCACAGCATTTGCAGTCAAATGACAGTGAAAGGGGTGCTGTGAATAAAAAATGATCAGGCAGCAGTGACAGTGCCCACCAACGCCCACAGGCGACAATCATCTACTTCACAATGTGGAGGATTTTATTTATTTATTTCATCAAACAAAAAACAGAGAGAAAAGCCTTTTGATTGAGGGTTCACTGTCCTTGCAGGGTTGGTGCCATATCCTTTAACAAACATAATCAAAGGTTGTAGTCCCACAGACACGATCATGTTTATCAGGGGGTAATAACACGATAACCCTGTTTGCTCAATGAACTACTGACACATGCAGTTTTAGCATATGTTGACAAGCTTAACAGAGTGTGGAGAGCTCAACATGAAAGTTTCTTCTTCAGACATGACACCCTCATATATTTCGACCACCCTTGAATGCTCACCAGTCTCTTCTACTCTGTCAGATGAATTGCTCAATTCTGTAAATAGACTGGGAGAAGGGTTCCCCTGCTGGTAATTTAAGTAGCCTGACATTAACAATCATGTCATGCAGCAAAGGGGAACTGAAATGATGAATGTTTGTGAGGTTTAAAAAGAAAGCAGAAGACTGCATTTTAATAAAAAATCTGCCTTTCTTAATGGCTGTTGTTCGACTGAGTGAATTTCTCATCCACACACGACTGTAAATATCTTAAAACCAATGCAGCGAGCTTAAATACATCAATAACCGATTGCACCTCCTTTTGGATTCAACACTGAATGAGACGGCTTTAATTCCCGTGAATTTGTCTGACATTTATCTGCAGCAAAATGCCGATCTGAGCCTCACTTAAACTTCAATCAATACTCCGAGGGATCAGGATCTGTTACTGCTTGATTTTCTTTTTTTGTGTGTGTGTGTGAGTCGTTTACCTTTCCCGTCGTCACTCCGTTGTAAGTCTTTAAAGAAGTCGTCGTGAAGCACCGAAGCAACTGCTAGAAATCCAGCCTTTCAAGTGGCCGTTAACTTTTAACGGAGGCGGCAGGTCGGCGGAGTGGAAGCGGTGTTCTAGTGCAGAGCAGAGCAGAAGGCTGGGCGAGGATCCCTCCTGTCAAGCACCGCCTCAGCTGCTCTGCGCCCTCTCCGCTAACCAATACACACGCTCTGCAGCGGCGTGCATCCATCTGCAAAGTTGCACGGTTGCTCATTATTATGCAGGAGTTAAATGCAACACGGAAATCTCCTTTCTGCTCTTTTAAAGGGAATAAGTGCGATTATAGCTTTTCAAAGTGTTGAATTTAACATGCTACTAATAGTAATAACTCATCTCTACCATATTGCTCATATGAAAGGTATTGAGTACAAGTTGAAAAGGAAGTTAATTTTCTAAAATGTAGTTCCAGGCTACAGAAGTTATGAAAGTGAAAATAAAAAAGCCCTTTCCATTTCATATGATGTAACATTATGACTTATATTTTGAGCTATGCTATATGGTTTAGGATAGGATAGGATAAACTTTATTGATCCCCAGAGGGGAAATTCGGGCGTTACAGCAGCACAGACAAAAAAGCTCAAAATACACATTAAACAGAATAGATAAATAAATAATAATATAAAAAATAAATAAAATAATAAAAAAATAATAAAAATAATAAAAAATAAAAACGGGGTATATACAGTACAAAATAAATGATGAAGTTAACTGGGGGGAATTGAGAATTGAGACAGTATTTGCAGAGAATGAACACTGCAAGTGATGATTAAAGTGACTGGTGACATTGGTTTGTAATGACCTATTAAGCCACAAGGAAAAATATTCCATAATACTGTAAAGTTTTATTATAAAATAAACTTGAACATCACAATAAGATTACACCATTGCATACGAGTTCTGACAGAAATGGAAAGCTTCAAAAAGACAAAAAGTCAGCTTACTTACTGCAGAGGTCCTGAAAAAAGGAAGCTAAATTTAGATAGCTACTTAAATAGTGTCAAGACACTTAACACCTTTATCTTTTTTTCCATATTTGGGTATCTTTTAAATAGTTTTTTTTTGTTGTTGTTGTTTTTCACATTAGTTTCAGTTTCTAAGTTAATGGTTTGGCTGTGTTTCATCCGCTGTCAACAGTTCACAGTTTAGAAGTATTGTTACCTTTAGTTTCACGTGCACTACATATTTGACCAATCAGAAATAAGTAATTTTATGACATCAGCTAATAAAGGAAGTAGGAGAGTGATACTGCACTGAGGTTCAAACTTATGGGACTTCTTCACAGTAAATAGGGTACTCCCAATTCTTCATACTTTGTACGTCATGCTTACCTAACCCATAACCCATTTATTTCATGGTCATAGCTACAAATGAATTCACTGAATAGAATTTGTATATTCAAAATATTGGTTGGGTTTACATTATGAAAATCTACCCAACAAATACCCATCAAGCTCCACCTCCAGTAAAAGATAGATAACAATTTACATTAGAATTTATGATCCAGTCGTACAATACAATTTTTTTGTTTAAACATTAAAAATATTAGTATGATATTTTGTGTGGTATTTACTACTTTTACTGGAGGATCTGAATAACAACTCCACCGCTACATACCTTTGGTATAAGTGGTATTTTAAGGCACAGTGAAGCATGATATTATTGAGTTTCCGTTGATGTGTGCTTATAAAATGGTTTAGAGTTGAGGCTGCAGTATATGTTTTAACAGCCAACCACATCACATAATAATATGTAGACAATAATAGAGCCAGGGGCAGAGTATTTGGTAAAGCACATGATTTCACATTCCAGTGACCACAATGCTGAGGGATTATGGCTTCACAATGAGGACAGGGCTGGCTAGGGAGGATAACAGACACGGAAAGCATGTGGGTGTCTGGGTTAGACAGAGAAACAGGCAGTGAGTGAGTCAGTCCGACCTTCCTCCCTGTGAGTAGTTCAACTTTCCTTTTAATTTTCTTAATCTGGTTCAGATGCATTTTATATCCCACATCTCCTCAACACTGCCCTGATTTCCTAAAAGTAGCAATCAGTTTCCCTGCTCTGACATTTTTACATAATGTATTCACAGACAGGCATTTAACAAATGCAACTCCCTGCGGGTCTCTGATGACATGCTGTGGTTCAATAAAGAACTGCATTTTTTCCTAATTAAGACGCTAGAGATACATCATTAAGGAGAAAGTAGATTCTTTTCAGATGAAGTAGGACATATTTATTACTTTCTTGTCTGTACAACACGGTACATAACAGACATAAAACAAATAAAAACATGAACAGGGAAACAATAAGGGCACGATCCATATTTATCCGTTTACTGCAGTAGGCTCTTATACCGGACATCTGCAGTCTTATTTATCGTAATACAGCAATAAGTGACTATGTGATGGTATGGTGAAACATTATACCTCTCAAAAGCCATAAGTGAATTCACAAATATTTTTTACAATCTCCTAGCTAGAATTTTTAGTGATATGTCAGTGAATAGATGTTTGCTTACTGTGAAGAAAGAGAATATCAATGTCTATATTTCAATCAGAAACAGACAAAATGATCACTTGTGATATTAAGTGAACCATGATGATTCATCAGATAAAACTCATTGTACATAGTCAAATCCAACATGTTAAACTTCAAATTTAACACTTCAACTGGACCCAACATACAGACTTTATATATACAACTGAGGCAACAAACACAAAATCAATTTTCTTCCTGCAATGAACTTCAAATTCACCGAAAAAGGCAGATCTCCATACATCAAACAGCAACATCTTCAAGCATGTTTATGTAAAAGGCAACACAATAAATAAAACAAATGGCACAGGAGGTTTAGACAATCTAAACTGAGAAGCACAATGTTTTGTGAAATATTCACAGGAAACTAAATACTAAAGCAAGCACGCAAAAAAAAAAATCTTCCAACTTGACGTCCCCGCAGACAAGTAACACAGGCTGACGAAAGAGAAACAGAGTAAAACAAAAATCACTATCTAATTACAGTGAGAGGAGTAAGAGACTGACATTTGTAATTCAATATAGTATTTGTATTTACAGACATTTATACAATTGAGGACATCAAACTGGGGTTCAAGCTTATAACTATATTAGGACACGGAGCAGAACAATCAGATCATATAATGCACCAAATATAATATAAACCTTGTAAACATCACATCTCACCTTTTTCTTAGATCAGTCAGATTAAGTTTCTATTTAACAAGTTCATAATATAATTGTCCTTACTTTAAGGCATAGGTATCAAGCTAAGTAGTGAGCCTCTTATAAGATTTGATTTGAAATCAACGGGATTTAGTCAGAAGGGTTCACTCTAACAAGCACTAAACCTACTCGTCACAGCAAACCCTCAAAACAAAGCATCCCCACTTGTCTCTGGTTCCGCTCTGCTTTCTGTACAGTTATAAGATCTCTTCCACTCCGTGCGCAAAGATCATGACCAGGCCAGGCTCCAGGATCATGTCCTCCCCCATATGTTGATTCTCACAGGCCATCACCACGACCGCCTGCTTGCCAGGGATACGCTTGGCAACGTAGTTCTCATAGTAGCGCCTGTTCATCTGCCGTGTCTCGAGCGTGGCAAGCCCCTGCGGCCAGTTCCGCTCGTGGGCGTTCTCGATCAGGTCATTCACAATAGAGAGCGGACAGCCGCTGTCGATGAGGGAGCGTTTGATGACCGCTTGGAGCACAGCATCAGGAGTAGAGATCATGCCGCCCCAGCGTGTCACTCTTGCGGGCTGCATGGAGTTCACCCACCTGAAGGTAATAGAAAGTGAAAACCAGAAGACGGTTAAAGGACTGAGCAGCAGCTCCCTGACATGGTAAATAATAGAATACCAAGCCGGAGAAGAGATGACATTCTACTCACTCTAGGATCTCATTGTACTCGATGCTCTCCTCCAGGTTTTGAAGATTTGGATTAGCACTGCGGATGGCTCTCATGTAGGCTTTTAGCAGCTGAATGTCCCGTTTCTGGAAATTGAAAGCATCATCTTCAGTGACTCATTTTGCACAGTCTCCTAAAACTGGACATTAATTTATCACTTGCAAACTTTCCGTCTCTTGGCTGCAATGAGGGCTTCATTAGTCAGCAGTACTCAACTCTTAACTCACTTTTATTGGATTGGTTTTGGACATCTAGCTGTCTAGCAATTAGGTTGATATATTATTAGTGTTTCTTTAGGGAAAGGAATGCATAAATTTTTTCTTTTCTTTCTAAATAATGTATATTTAAAGTAACTGATGAACAATTTTAAAGAATTTAAGTTCATTATTTTAAAGCATGACTTATTAGTGACATTAAAATGAAGATTTCCTCAATTCTTTGCGATATATTCACACAAAGTCATACAGGAAATCTACAGGGGGATACACAAATAGTATCCTTTTCCACAGAGCAAAATCACAGACGTCTAATTCAAAGGGATTCGTCATCTACAAATGAATAATCATAGTCTAAAATAAATAATTTCACCACTTAAGACACTTCGTTGTTATGGAAGGGGATGTGCTGTAGGCCAGTGCTTCCTACAGCGTTGGCTGTGGCCCCCTGGTGGGGCGTGCAGGTACTGCAGGTGGGTTGGGAGAGGACCTCCACCAAGCAGCATAAAGAGAATAATATCGCTATAATGTTGATTTCATCATGACTTAATCCTCAACCTGATTAACGAGGTCTGTCATAACTGTACATGGTAGGTATAATCAAATCTCGTATGCATCCATCTTGTTTTAATGTCATGTTGGCAAGTCTAATTATTGACCGTGGCTGCAAAGGACAGCCGTAGTCATGAAGAGTAATATTCCCTTCAGTTCTGTTGGGAAACTACAGATTTACTGACATTTATCGGCAGAAAACAACATCCTGTGAAATGCTGACATAAACACTTCAAAACATAAGTAGCACATACTTGTGTAAACCATGAACAACAAAGTAAACAGAAGAGACAACTGAAGGGAAAGACTGTGAGCATATTGAAGTTGTTAGTGAACTATGAAGTGGGGAACACATTAATGTTTGAGAGGTGACATTATAAAATATTTTATAATACAGTATTATGTCACCTACAATAAATATTGATGTGCTTCTTCAAATTAGTTTAATAGAAAATTCCCCCAAAACAAGAGTTTATTGGCACGAGAACAATTTTGTTTTTCAAAGTGGGCTCAGCAGTCTTAGGTTTAGGAAAGGCTGCTCTGGGCTATTTCTAAACCCCTTCAACAGACATTTGTAAGCAATATCTATCATGACCAGGGTCTCAAAGTGCTTTGTGTACAAGATATCAACAAGCAGGCAAATTTTCTTACTTGTTCCCCCAATTGGTGTTTATGCTCCACCACAGTTTTCTCCAGCTCTGAAATCTTTGTCTGTTGCTGCTGGACCACGCTCCGCAAGTGTTTGATGCAGTTGTGGTTGGGTAGCTCATCTTTGGGCATCTCAAGTCTGCAAGATTGTGCAAAAGAAAAATAGAAAGTAAGAGTTTGTAGTATCAAATCATCCAGTGGCAAGGTCACATGTTTAGGATCCTCCAGCTTAGCACTAATATAAGACGGGGATTTTAATGTTTTTACTGATTCAGCTGCTTTTATGTTGTGACAAGCAACACCTGTCACCTGAGACTTGCAAAGCTAAGGTCTTATTTTCTGGTTTCAAAGGATGACATGACTTATATAATCACTCCACTCATCAGTTACAATATAGTAAAACCTTTTCTAACAAATAGAAACCACTCACCCACACCCATCCTCACAGTTGACGGGCCTTTTAGGGTTATGCTCGCAGTCCTTCAGATGTGACTGCAGCTGGTCCAGCCGTAGTGTTGCTGTGCAGCCAAAACCTGCATTGTCACAGTTGATCTGAAGTTTGGACAGCATGTTGCGCATGATGCGGGGTACAGGCCGGAGGTGAGCTAAAGTCACAACCGTGCGGTCAACTGGACAAATCTGCTGCTGGGCGAACCACTGTGTTATACAGGCATTGCAGAAGGCATGCTCACAGTGTGGAGCCTTAAATAAAAAAACGAGAACACAGATTTTTAGAATGTGAATAGGAAAAATGTTGATGCAAATTAAAAGTGGGAAGTCTTTAAGACGAGGGCTTACCTGCACTGGTTCTTCGAGAACTCCACTGCATATTGGGCACAGCAGGTCTTCATCCACCTCCCCTTGGAACCTCGTAATGTCGTACCCCATGGTACATTACTAGGACCCACAACCTCCTGGGAGACACAACATAAACATTAGGATCGCAGCCAACCTAATTCAATCCAATAATGACTGTTGATAATTCACAAATAAACTGGGCTTACCTCACTCACAAAAAGCCTTCAATACTCCCATTCAGCTCTTGATGTGAAGCCGAAGTGTCATATCAGCAGAAATGACCCGTCTGCCGAAAGACACTCAGTTTTTTCCTGCAAAATAAAACCATCACAAAAAGATTCACATTCGTTGTTCAGTCGCTCTCTATTGGTTCACTTAAAAGTACTTTATAAACGGCAAACACGAGTGTAATAACGCAGTATAGTAAACATTTTGCCTCTGTCCATAGAATCAGTAAATAGAATAGAATTACTTTATTGATCCCAAAGTGGGAAATTGTGGCGTTACAGCAGCAGGTTATCAAACACACAATATGAGTAAAAAAAACACAATATTAGCAAATTTAAACACAATATAATATTAAATACAAAGTAAATAAGCACTAAAAACATCAAAACTAAGAATGTGAATATATACAACCAGGATTTAACTACGCATTACTAGTCTTAAATAGGAAGATTGAATGTAAATGTGCAAAAACAGAGTCATAAATGGTTGTAAATTAAATATGAAAGATTAAATGTAAATGTGCAAAAACAGAGTTGTAAACAGTGTTGACACAAGTTAAAGTGCATAAATCTGTGTGTAAAAAGCTGTGAATGCACAATGACACATGACATTTAAGCACTGCCATATTTACACAAATCCCTCAGCCAAAAAGCGATGTCCTTAATCCCTCATGTAATGTGGTTTCTAACATTTTCCTCTGCATATGAAAAAATTGCAGCAGTCAAAGCCTGAACATCTGAGGGGAGCATCCTGTTGTCCCAGCTGACTGGTGGGTGACCTAATTTCGGTAGAAGCAGCATTCACCGGTCTTTGGGGGGCGATTGAACAGTTTCAGATAATTTTCCTCCCATCGCACTGAACATGCCCTGCAAACGAGCTAACTCTCTTTGCTACATAAGCTACATGCACAGTGTTATTTCACTGCTGACCATTGAACAGTCAGGTGTTCAAATAGCTTAACTGAGGCGATCTCGTATAAACGACCACATGGTTAAGTTCAGATGTCAGTAGAGCTTGCACGGGATGAATTTAATGTGGCTTTAGGTGGCTAACTGGATAGCAATGGTAGCACCTACGGTCCCGTTGGTTTCCTCTGCATATTAGCAGTGGAGCTAACCAGACAGACATCAGTCTGGGCAACATACATCGACAAATGGTTGTTCGCAATTAACCATATTTAAAGAAAACAGTCTAATTGAGTGGCATACTCACTTAAACATGTAGTAAAACAGATCCTGATAAAGATGTATGTGAATTTTCGGACGTCCTACTGTCACTACTAGCTCGCTAGCCACGTCTTGTGCTACATCCTGCACCTCTGTGTCGTCGTTACGCACACGCAGGCGGTCGTTGACGTCATGACGTACAACTGGAGATTTCGATTGTGTTTGTATCGTTCTATCTACCGATTTGCCTATTTAGCTACCTATGAGGTGAGATGAGATTCAACTTTATTGTCATTACACATATACAAGTATAGAGGACGAAATGAGGTTTGGCATCTCACCAGAAGTGCAAATAAGCAGAAAGTGCAAGAATCTGTGTACAAGTAATTACAAAATTTACAGATGTAGACTAAATAAAAAGTGAATTATTGGGTATATATGGCTGGATTAATGGGATGCTATAAATATAAATAAATGCTATAAATATAAGTATATTCTTAGGAATATAATATACAGATTAAAGTGCAGTGAGCATGCTATACTAGATTACAGATAATATACAGAATGAAGATAAAGATAAACTTTATTGATCCCCCGTGGGGGAACTTTGTGCATTACAGCAGCTCAAGAAAACAGGGGACGGGAATATAATTATTAAAAATAAAAACAGAAGTTAAAAATCAAATCAGTACATCAGTTAAATAAATACAGAATATGGACATATTGTACAGGTCGATAACTTATTGAGGTGATATGAACATACCATAATACAATAATACAGGTGGATGAGAGATGTGTGTGTATGACCAGGAGGAGTGGTGGGGGGGGATGATGGGTGTGAGGTGATGTGTAGGGGAAAGGGGGGGAGTCAGCGGGAAAAAGTTGTTCCTCAGTCTGCTGGTTCTGCTCCGGAGGCTTCTGAAGCGCCTACCGGAGGGCAGGAGGGCAAAACAGTCTGTGGGCAGGGTGGGAGGAGTCTTTAAAGACGCTTTAAGGATCTATATCTATCTGTCTCCCCAGAGTTAAACTTGGACTTATGGACGTGTATTACCAGTGGAATATTATATACTCCATGGTAGTATGCAGGCATCTTAAAATGCTGAAGTTGTCTCAATTTGTTCAATCTGTATTTTAAAGTTTAAAAAATATATAATTGGCCTGCCACTAAATGATTGGGGAGGAAATGAGAAGCGGGCATGCAGAGGGAAAGCGTACTGCATGCAGACTGTAAGTGTGTGTCTGGCTTAACAGAAGGAGAGCACATTGAAAGCATGAGTCACCATACACTACAAGTGTGACTGCATGTTGGAACACCCCCAAAGGCTGTTTTCACACTGTATGAGTCCTGTTAACAAACCATGTGATCGGGTTTGAACTATGAATACAGCACCAACAGATAATGGTAGTGTTTGCACAATGATCATAACATTGTGTTACATTTGTCTGGTGTTTTGTAACCCTTACGGTCTCCTTCACATCTGTGCATCACACTTGAATAAAAGCATTATAGCCTTCTAGTAATGGAAGGCTATAATGAGGTGGATTGAGATGTGTAAGTGGAGAAGGAAAATAGGATACTCTTGAAACGTGTCTAAAAACCGACCCAGCAGGTATACTGAGGTTAAACAGTTCTGCAGGAAACACTTTCACTTGGTAAATCCAATCAAGAGCTGCATTTTGGTCAATCAACTCAATCAGTTCCTTAATTCAATGAAGATCAACAACTCAGACAAAGGGCAAAAAAACCCATTCTGGACTTTTAATGTTCACTTCATGATTGAACTTGTAGTGTTATAATAGTATCTTTAAATTTGACAAAGAACATATATTAATTGCCAAGAAATAAAACCAGACTCAGGACATATTTAGCAATAGCACTTTATTGAACACAAACAACCCTAAGCCACAATACTGAATGACAAGACCAATTGGCTGCAGCAAACATTTTATAAAATAGATTTAGGTTTAATGTCACTAAATTGTTTTTTTTTTTCTTTTAACGTCAGAAAGACAGATGCAGGTTTTTCCAAAACAGTGAATGATCTTTTACATATTTAACATTTTTGTAACAAATTATCATTCACATGTTCACACGAAGGAATAACAAGGCAAAGTGCTTTCAGGATTGCATTGTCGAAAAAACAAAAACAGAAAAAATGAATGGCTTGAGGTTTTTGGTGAGATGGGAGGGGGAGGGGGGGAGAGAGAAGTGGGGCTGGTCCTGTCCTGGATTAGGCAATGGGGCTGGGGGGGGTTGTTTGGTTGGGAGGGGGGAGGGAGGGGGGCGCCTGGTTAGAAAACCTCAAACCTTTCACCTTGTCCTGTACCCCTTGTAGTCAAACTGAACGTGAAATGTCAGGGCAGTGTGGAGACAGACGCCTGTGTAGCAGAATTTGGTTCAGAGTGGACCGATGGATTCAAAGGCATACGGCTTGAGGGGCTCAAACTCACCCTCGAACAGAATTACAAATCCACCTTCAAATCTTTCTTGTGACAACCTGTGGTATCATTACAACTGCAGGGCAATCAGTGGCTGACCCAGAATGAAGCTGTAAACGTTGAAATGATGTATACTATAGGGCTAGACAAGGAAATATACACACACAACCGAAGAAATAGACGGTGTTAAAAATAAAAGCGAATGCATGGTTATTTATTCCTAAAAAGATGGATCCTCTGACCATTCGCCACTGAATGTTAAAGGGGGATAGACTATCATCAGAATCTGCATCATAACATTGTCTGGCTTCACATTCCAGTGGTATTTTGTCGTATAAATGCTTCTCATAAATATTTTTTTCTACGTCAAATAGACATAAACACATACAGCACAACCAAGCACACTTTTTTTTTTTTTGTATAACTACCATTGCTTATGATAAATCTGTATTCTCGTACTGTGAATAGTTTTTTAGTTTTCTTTAATAGTCAGAACAGATGGAGAGACAAACAATACTCAAGGCTGCAAAACAAGGAGGTAGGAGAAATGCTACTGAAAAACAGCAAAAGTGATGCTAATGTGATCGTTCTCTTAAATAACGGTGAGAGACACCAAGCGTTCAGCTCCACTTCTTGAACCAAGCTGGCGCCAGCAGCTGCTACTCCAGTCGGCGTTTTTTGTTTTAAAGGAGCGGTGTGTTCGATTTGACTCCAAATTGAAAAAACAAGTCTGAAAACCGATATTCAGTCAAATCTTCAAATTGTATCCGATGATTTATTGATCACGTCAGACGCAGACTGGTGTAGTGGCTTTGGTGATTAACTAACGGAGGACATTTTAGAGGCCCATTCTGCCTTTAAAAAAATTGGAATTCTGTCTTAACCCTCTTTTTCCAGACCGATCATATTCTAAAAATTGACTAATTTCATTCAACCGAGTAACATCATTGGTCCTATTGTCATCACTGGTCTAGAGACCACGCTGCTGGTGATGGCATTGACTCCTTTACACACAGTAGAGTAGTAGTATATATTTGCAGATTTGTAAATGAGGTAATCAGGCTAAATAGGGAACCCTGTCATTGACACACACGCCCACTTCATTCACCAGCAAAGCAAAACGATTTTTCTCGGTCAGCGGGACAGGACAGAGTGGGGGAAATGAAAACAACTTTGGAATGTTGGGTGGACGAGCCAACTTTTTATATACATATTTGTTTGTGAAGGTGCACTGTGAAACTTTTTGATTGTAACTCATCACATGCCCTGATTCAGAGTCCTTCCCCTCATGATAAAAGGATCCTTCGTGTTTCCCCAGATAAGCCACTCAAAGTAAAAACAGGCAACCCATTATCGAACCTTTTTCCTTTGAATTGTTATGAATTAAGGCTGCCTCAGCAGCAGATCAATGCCTGCTTTAAGTCCAGTCGTGAGAGGATTGTTAATAGCTCGTGAGTTGCAATGAGGTGGCAACATCTACAGTGCAGCGGACTAGAAATAAAAAAAACACATGAAAGGTACTTCTAAAAAGTCACAGAACATGCAGAATACATCCTTTCCTACAGTAGGCTATTCCTAATAGCACATTCAAAAGGGGCTCCTAACGGGCAAATTCTCTGATATGGCTCTGCTTAAGAGTAATCAAGCTTGGGGTGAGACTACTTCCACTGTGGGCTCACAGAAGGAGCGAGTAGATAAGGTGCTCCACCAGAAGATTGCTGCCTTAGTTCACCTGCACGAATACTTTGTGTCATTCAGTTCAACAGGTTCAACAGTAAACACTGGAAAAAGTGTTTGTTTTCCTTCTCGTAAATACATTGTTTTTTCCTCCCCCCCCTCCCCCTCCCCCTCCCCCTCCCCAGAGACACATCCTCTTGCTGGTGAAAACAAACGGCACTTTCAAGGGGAATGTTTCTCTAAAACCACAATCACAAGGACCTCCGAGTAACAAATTCTGAAAACACACAGGCTATACAGTAGATATAAATCTCATGAGTTTCTTAACTGTACAAGCTTTAGGCTACACGCTGAAAAGGGAGGGACACATAAGAACCCTTAATGCTTTAACATTGAAAAACAAATATAAGGCATTTTCATATTTCCTTTTATCCGCATACGTCACTGACAGCAGGTCTAAATATTTTTGAGAAAACATTTCATTCAAGGAGGAAGAGGATGCATATACACATCTACACATGCAAATGAACATGTCTACCGGTTATAAACCAGAAGCCCGAACTACAACACCATCAAAAATCCATCCATAACAAGAAGAAAAAAAATTAATGCACCTACTCAAATCTATCAGTCAACTTGTGCACAGTCCGTTCTCTGAGCAGGCAGCTTTTAGACTTGGACATTGATCACAGTTTTTAAGAATGGAATATCAAACACTCCACTATCAAACGCCACCTTCTCTGAACACAAACAGGACCACTTGAAATCCTTCATTTGCTACAGATCAGTGACTTTTGGTGTTAACAAAAAAAAAAAAAAAAGGGCATATCAAATTTTTTTTTTTCAACCGAGGAAGCAATGATAAACAAAAGGTTATTGCACTTTTTATCTTTTGTCTATTTCAAAAACGAGGTCAGCTTGAGAGAAGATGATTCATGCCTTAATGTCGCGGTAAGACAACAAAATGTTACGTCACTTCTATAGTATGATCACACGGTTATTAACACTGCACACAGCTACTACTGCAACCCTACTTTGTAAGTCAGTCTACCCTAAAAAAATTAAATAAAATGAACACAAAAAAAAAAAAAAAACAATCTCTACAATCAGTTCGCAGCACAGTCACAACAAACAGCTCGCCTAAAATCTTGATCTCGAATGCAAGGTACCGCATTCTTCACAACTTGGTTAGTGATGTGAAGTTAGAAGTTGTTGATGGAAAAACCCAAACGAGTTGAGAAGATCAATCAGAAGAGGCTCTGATATTCCAGATGACGGTCTTTTCTACAGTTAATGTGTTACGGACAATCAAACCTCATGTTCAGAAGCGCTCAGAGTCGTCTTTTCTTTCCCTAAATTTGGTCTACCAGCTCCGTCACTCTGTGGTGTTCAGGGAGCCAACTGAGCCCCCGAGGTGCCTTCTTTGGATTTGTGCTTTCATACTTTAGATCCCCATCCATTCAATGTTTGATGTGCCCTAAATCGCATCGGCAATGTGCAATTTAATCCGCCCCCGAAGGGAGCACTCAGTCACTGAGATGCGTCATGAAATCCAAAATAATACAGGAGGAGTGTATTTAGGCTTTTTTTTTTATTCTTATGACTCAGATCTCAAAAGGGTTGAAATAATCCTGCTCAGAGGGAATATGAGCCTCTCTACTGTACGTTCAGTGTAATTTCCTTGTTCCCATTATAAGGCTTCTGAGAAATACAAATGGAAGACCGTACCTTTCGGTAGTAACAAATAAAAGGCACCATGCCACCACTGTGCTCGATATTACACAGGTCCTATTGGTGGGGGGAAATTAATAACCGAGTGTTCAGGCAGGGAAGGCCGTCAAACTAGCATTAGTCATACAGTGTAATTCTATTATTTTGACTTACAAGAGGTAAAGTTTTATAGCTACCTTCATTCACCACCTTAAATTAGACTGTACTCTTCACGCTATATGACCTGCACCAGATAACAGACTCATCTGTTGAGTTGTAATGTAGAGAAATATGTTGAAACAGGTACTCTTTTTTTTTTTTTTTCCTTATATAAAAGAAGGGACTTGTGCATGTTTAGGTTCCACATGCATATATAGAAGAGTCACTCACACACACTGTAAGAGAGAGAAATCTACACGACTGGCATCAGGAGAAACGAGAAGAAATCACAGAGGAGAAATGTCAGCGTCGTCACACAAAAATATCACTGATGAGGTAAAAACTGCAGGTCCAATAAAAAGTACAAGGTGCAGTTTGCTGCCCCCCTTTTGTAAGGTAGGAAACAAGAGACATCTGCCGACACTAATCTAACACTTCCGCATAGATACATCTCTGATTTAGGCTGGTTTAAGCAGAATTACACTACCCACAACAAGATGGATCACACGATTTGAACTCTTTGTTAGCATAGCTGTACAAGCAATTTTTTTTTTTTATACAAATTTCCTTTCCATCATTTTTTGAGGTACACCACTTCTATCCCAAAAGTGTCATTTGGCTCTGGATGACGGAGAAGCCAAAGATGATTGTTTACGAGTGAATTCTGAATTCATTCATTCATTCACAGTGGCAAATATGGCGATATCCTAACCTCTCACAACAATCTCTGCACCATGGCAACCTTCAGCTATGTGCTACCTCATCTGATTTGTGTGCTTCTCGACACCACAGGGTGTCTGCGAGACCAAAAATTTTGAATTATTACTATTATTTTTTTTAAATCAAGCATTCCAACCAAGTAGCATAACTCTACAGGTGATGCAACTCATCAGGTACTGCCAGGTATCGTTTCCTTTTTTCAGCTTTTTAAGGCAAAAGGCTCAACAGTGGATCAGAGAGTGGAATTGAAATTTGCCATTTACTTCAAGTAAGAACCGAGACATCCATTGAGGCAAATCAATTCTATATGAATACACCATGCTTCTTGGTTTTTTTTGGACATCAAAAATGTTTCGTTTTTTTTTTTCCTGGTAACACACATTATAAACCACCTTGTTTAACAAACACACAACCTAGGGATTGCTTTGCCAATACCAAAGGGAATAACTAGATTCTGCAAAAATGTCCAATTTTTTTTTTACAATAGACTTCTACCAACAGCTAATTTTTAACAGAATACCTGCATTTAAAAAGTACTAATATCCCATGCACATATTTATAGTTTTTCTTTGAGTAATAGAATTGGTGAAAAGACATGCAGCTCTGAACAAAAAAAAAAAAATGTCGTAATAATCCTGCCTACTTCTGAATAAGTAACTGACCAAGTATGTATGATTTATATCTAAAGGCAAATAAAGGTTTCTATGGCACTAAATGGGTGTAGCTTAGGTGCATTTCTGTCAAATATAGGCTATTTAAGAGTTATGTGTGATCGTATCTACTGTAGACCTTTTTGTCCCTCTTGTTCTACCGTACTGTAAGGCAATCTCAATGGAATGGATGAACATGAATGTTAAATTCATCTGAACTCTCGTCCCTTGTTTACCTTGTAGGCTACACTCCACACAAATATGTGTACACATATGTATAGAGAAAGGAGAGTGGTATTACACAACAGCAGGCCTACTTTCTAACAAACAAACAAACAAAAAGAGAAAGAAGAAAACCTAACCAGACCGTCAGATGCAGGAAGACTACTACACATACTGAATAATATGTAGAGAATTAGGTTATTACATGCTACCTGTATTAATCATATCTATGCAAGACAAATGAAGAGTAACAGTTTAAAGTCGGGAGAAAGCAACTTGTCCTGCTCTAAACTGACCCTACATTCATTTCAGTCAGAAAAAATTCATGGCTCAGATTTGATGATCGGACTGTAAACTGTTTGAATATATGCATAAATCCATTGCTGCTTTTCTAAAGAGGATTCGCCCTCTCTCTCTCTCTCTCTCTCTCCACTCGTTTTGGCAAACAGGCCATATTTGTGACCAAAGATTAAAACATCCAACCCGCATTTGAAATCTTCCATTGGCATTTATACTATGATTTAGTGAATTGGCCTAAATGGATGGCAGTGCAATATTTGTGCTGCACACTGTTACACACACTCTCTATTGCTACAATTGGACCTTTCATTGCTTTCCATTTCTGGTACGAGATATATGATGTATATGCTCCACTTGTTCAACCGTTATACTATATCAAAATTGTGATCGAGCTCCATGCACAATAACTCAGTTCTCACTGATACACACATGAAAAAAAAAAAATGAAAAAAAAAAGAGCATGTATAAGAATACTGTGGTACAACAAAAGGATCAGTTCCAACTTGTACAGTTAAAGGGGCAATGGCTCCATTTACTGGTCAGATAAGGACATCACAAGAGGAAAAAAAACAAAAACGTCCCTGCCTGAGCAGACAGCACCTACAGATGGCAGAGAGAGTATGCAGAGTGTTTTGAGGAGCCTGCCTGAGGTGTACTGACTTCAAGTGACTTAGGCCAGAGTCTGTTATTAACAGTAGGCTGGGTTAGGTAACCTTGTCACTTCTTAAGGGGCTATCTGCCCAGAGTTAGTTCATACAAGAAAAAAAAAAAAAAAGTCAGTGGGAAGTGGACACTGTCCCCGACGTACTCAGAGACACTTTTTTTTTTTTTTCTTTTTTTAGTTTTTATTTTATAAAGTGTTAAGAGTACAATTTTGTTGCAGCCTTTGCTTGTCTTTTACAACCCTTTCCTTCCTGTATTCAGCAGCAACACACATGCATGTAAACATAAGTACATACATTAACATCTGCTCTATTTTGCACACTTAGAACCTGAATGTACTAAAGTGCGTGCTTGACTATCTAATTAAGTGCTGTGGGATTAGGGTTACAAAGGAATTAAATCATGGAAAATCCCACCAAAATAAATGTCGACATAATCTTCCTGCTGAGATCTGATTGGATTAATAAATTCTGTTTGCTGCTTCAGCACAGATCCTGAGATTACAAATTATTATGTACCTATCGCTAGTAATAATGTAAGTGCTCTCCTGAAATCAGGAAATCGATCAAGAGAACGAAAAGGCTGTCGGGTCACCAATAAGTTCCATTTCAAGTTATTGAGGTCAATTGAAATGCCAACGGTGAATCTACAACACTAACTCTGAGAAGAAAGAAAAATCACTGCTCTGAAATGGACTTTGATGTCAGCTTTAGAAGATCAAGTAAAAAGACTTTTTTTTTTCTTTTTTTTCGCAGGGGGGGATTTAACGACATAATCCTAGGCTAGGTCCTCATCTCTCATCCAGTCAACTAATGTGTGCAATTGTGCCACTTCATTACCAGTGGATATGAAGTTCTCACACCAATGAAAACAATCTGACTCAGTGTAATTTAACCACCAGCAGATGGTCTAAAAAAAAATAAAAATAAAAAAAAAGCATAGATATAACATCTGAAAGTCACAAACAGCTCTAGTGGTCCGATACAATCATCTTTAGTATGCTTAGTACCAGAAATGGGATGAGAAGACGACAAAATGAAATTAAATAAAAGCACATATTTGGATTTCTGCTTTTCCTGAAATCTAAACAACAGGTATTGGCCTAAGCAAAGATCCCTCTCCGTTTTTCCTCTTAGCCCTATTGTCTTCTACAAAGGGACATCAGCTCCCTAGCTATTGATAATGCCAAGACATAGAAAGGTATGCCGGGCAATTTTTTTTTCTTTCTCCCCCCCACTATGGTGCAACTGGGGTTCAATGCTGTTGCCATCAAATGTGTGGAAAAGGTAGTCAGTCTCAGGGCTCGTCGTACTCTGCCATTACGCAATCAAACTGAAATGATGTGTTACGGAAGGCATGGGTCAAAAGGCATTTCATGAGATGCCATAAAGGCAATCCAGTGCATTTGTGTTGACACTGACAGTAAAATGCCCGGCACACACAGAGCCATTCGTTTAGTCTTTAGGTAAAAATTTTCATGAAATCATAGAAAACGGAAAAAAAAAAAAAAAACGGGAAAAAAACTCATAACACATTCCAGGGAAACAAAAGCCCTTGTGACAGTGATTGTCTATTCAATAAAGGTTCAACAAAAAAAAGGCCAAAAGAAAATATTGCTTGAAAACTGCCCAATAAAAACAGCAGACAATACTCTGTATCTGTTCAAATTGATCACCCAGAGGTTGAGATATGAGCTATTAGATGTTTAAGACAAGTTCATCAGCTTAGAAGGAAAAAAAAATAAAAAAATCTCCTTTAGTGAGAGCGTGTTAAAAAGCGCAATGCTGATGGCCAGTTCAACTTCAGAAAACAGGAAAGAATGGAAACAAAAAAAATAAAATTAAAAAAATCGCAAGTGCCTAAAAAACCCAAAACTGACAGCTCTCTCTTTTCGATCGTTAGGCCTTTCAAATTTCGGAAAGAAAATAAATATATAACAGTTGAAAGAGATGGGAAATAAATTGAAATGGCTTGTTCATTTATGTGCTCAGATATATGATGCTTTGATGAGGTGTTGTTGGCAGATATTACTAGTAAAGCCTTCATCTAGAAATAAACAAGGCCTCAGTCAGTCACTATCCTACAAAAAGAGAACGTTTAGGCCTACGGACCCTGGGTGAAGATGAAGCAGCTGCTAAACGAGTTGACGAGGTATATCAAGATCTATTGTCTTTCTCTATACAGTACAGTTCATCTCAAATAAATAATTTATAGCCATAATAGTGTTGATCAACTTTGGTCATAAGTTATATGCTTAGAAACATTCTAGCTTAACAAACACTTATTTAGCATCTTTAAAACATGAAGTCAGCATTGAGAACAAATCGATGGTATAAATTGCCGACCCAGGCATGGCCCTCCTTTGGAAGGAGACACGCCGACGTATTCAGCAGCATTATCAAATTATCTTAAAATGCCAAACAATTCTAGGCCGTACATTTTAAGTACACTATGGAATTTTCTGTGACCCTTTTCCAAATATTTTTCGGATTGTACTGTAGTACGTAAGCATTGCACTCTTAAGCAAAACATTTTTAGATTTTTTTTTTTCCCTTGTGTGGTTCCTTCATAAAAATCTAAGCTAACGCACAAAGAAAAACCAAAAAAAAAAAAAAAAAAAAAGAAGGGAAATAAAAAGTAATCAAATAAACAAAAAAAAAAAAAGTCTTTGATCACTCTTTTGGGAAGGCTGTATATGTTCCTCTACAAGGTCACCATGGCGGATTCAACATGATATGACTTTTATACTGAATGATATGACGAGAAAGACGAGGATACAGAGATTTCCATGCTCTTAGATGTCGGTTATAAGTTAAGTATGTCAACATGGTTTTAAAGGGTTAAATGATTTTCGAGATGGCCAGATTGCTAGTGTTTGTTTTGGATGCCACACTTCCTCGGAGTGACCTTGTAGAGCAATCCGCCTCTTTTAAGTTTTAAGCACTACAAGGAGATGGAGGAATGGGATCTAATTGCATATAAGGTTTGACTGCACCTCAAGAGAAGACCAAACACTCACGCACACAGACACACAAACACATACATACACAGAACAGACATGTGGGTGGGTGCTCTCCTGGTCCTCTGGGCCATGTTAAAGGGAGTCCCCCCCCTCCCCCTCCCCTCTGGTGGTGTTGATGGTGGTAGCAGCCGACTTGAGGGGGACACGGGACCTCACTCAGACAGACACCCATCCAGGCCAACCGGTGCACCATGGCGGTCTTTGACGTAGCCGTTGTGGAGGCCGTTGCTCGGCAGGGGGGCGCAGGTGGCGGTGATGCCGCAGTGCTTCAGCAAGTTGAGACCCGGGGAGGGGGAGACGGTGGGGGAGGAGCAGGAGCAGGAGGAAGGGTCCCGCTGGGGGAAAGGCTTCATGGTAGAGAGGATCAGAGCCAGGCAGTCGGCCACGTCCTTGTTGGGAGCGCAGGCCAGGGCTGGGGTGTGGCCTGGTTGACAAAAAGAATGTATGAACATCAAATGTGACAAGAATATTGAAGCCGCTTTTCAAAAACAACTGTTTACAATTCTGGAACTATTACACTTGATGGTTCCTTGATCTCCTTTATCAGCATTAAATAGTCTTTAGAAAAGATGTGTGTTAGCTCTTAGGCTGCCAATAAGAGGACAAAACCATCAATGGAGATATAAACAATTCTCTCAAAAACAAAAGAAAAGAGCTCTGCTGCTTAAGCTCATCCAGTCTGACAGTATCAAACAAAGCATGACAAGTCCTCACCTTCCTCATCCACAGCCAGCACAGTGGCTCCTCTACTCAGCAGTGCCTGCACCACCGTAGCCAGGCCGTTGCGTGCTGCAAGATGGAGCGGCCTGCAGGAGAACGAGGGAGAGGGTGAGAGACAGCCAAGACAAGTTACAGTTGAGTTGAGCTAGCTCAATTAGGACATTTAATTTGTCCGCTACGGTTAAGTGGAGATATGCCCCCTTTTAGCTAGTCTTCCCTTTGACTTTAGCAAATGGCAAAGTGGTGTATGTATGTCCAAAAACATGGACAACATTACAGCTGTGTATACATATGTACATGCTCTACTCTTGACTTTTGGTTCAAAGGTGATGCACACTATCCTTATAACTTCAAAGTGTTATCTGAAGACAAACAGCAACATGACTTCTGCTATGCTACGTATTAATGCTATTCAAAAACAGACGTGAGGATTGTGGAGCATGTGCAGAAAGCCTAGTCAGAGTTAATCGATCTCCAACCACATCATCTAGGTGTGTCAATCCGACTTTAAGAATATCAACTAACGATAAATAGACTTTTTCTAACTGCATGTAAGCACACTGACTATCAGTCACACAGTTTGTATTCTAACATTGGAACATGTCAGAGAAATGGCCAGATGTAAAACAAAACAAAAAAAAACAGCAGATTGTAATAATTAAAACAGCTAAAAATAACTCTTCTACATGCATAAAGTACTTCAAAGCCATCAGTCATAAAGTGCTTTAGCAGAAACACAAGCTCACACGTTGATACAGAGAAGTCCAAAACAGTCACATGTTTTTAGTTGTTGTTGTTGAAAAGCTCAAGAAGAAAAGATTCTCACATTTGCAGAGCACTGTTGGTGGCATTTATGAGTGTCGGGCTGTGGATCTCTCCCAGAATCAGCAGAGCGCACATCTCATGTGCCTGAGGGACAGCACAAGAAGAAAAAAGTAATGTATGGTCTCTCTCCCAAAGTTAGCTTAGCATTCAAAGTAAAAGGTACCTCATCACATTTTTTTTTTTCTTTCAAAGGGGGATGTGTACTTTGCTCGAGCTCCAAGATTTTTGATCGTGTTAATGCTCAGCACAAGACAGTGGAGCTTTGTCTTTATGATGGGGTGAATAATCGTTAATGTTAACCTTGCTGCAGGCCAGGTGCAGGGCAGTGTTCTTGTTCTCGTCCAGCAGTGTCAGGTCAGCCTTGGCCCGGTGAAGGAGGATGGCTGCAAGACACAAAAGACGTTTATATCCTGCAAACACAGGCGTCCTCAGCTGACAAATTATAGTACGAGGAGAGGCACAACAGATCTATTCAAAAAGGACTGCGTGTCGACTCCCCCCCCCCACGGGAACGGCAGGTCTGAGACTTACCCACGGTTCCACTGTGTCCCTTGTCAGCAGCTACCATCAGAGCAGAGCGTCCACTTTCGTCCACCGTATTGATCTCTGCCCCATGGCGAAGCACCAGCTGAAGTCCAGCGACGTCCTCGGCAAACGCAGCAGCATGCAGTGGGGTCCTTAGGAGCATTAAAGCGTTACATCATTAAATCTTTAAGATGTAATATTTGATCGAAGAGGAGGAAATGGTTGAGGTAACAGGGCTGGCATTGAGCATACCTAGAGTACTTTAAAGTATTACATCCTTATTACCAGTCCTAACCGAGAAGAAGTGTGTGGTGATGTCTGTATCTACATAGCCCTGGCCCCTCTGCCTGTGTTTTCAGGATCTGTTGTCGTGATGCTTTCTGGCTGTCAGTCATTGAGCGGTGGAGCAGAGCTCACAGACAACACTCTGCAGATCGGGACTGAATGAAATGCAGCGACAAGGTGACATCGCTGACACACAGAGGGCCAGGATGACGCACAACTGCATGTAAAGAAAATCCAGCCTGGTGCTGGAAAGTGTTTTTTCGGAGGCGCAGGCGTGTTTATCGACTCTTTAGAGTTTAACGGCTGACAAACAATTCCAACAACTCCACTCTCTCTCTCTCTTTGTCGCTCGGCCACTGCACTGCTCTCTCTTTTTTTTTTTCTTCCTCACAGCAGCTCTGGATTGAAAATATGAATATTAAAATGTTTTTTTTTTCCCCAACGCAATGTTATTTTATGATTCTATCAAGTGTAAATAAAGAGATTGTATAAAGTTTTAAAGCACGAGATTAAAAGAGGTCTAAGTTGTAGAAAATTTGAAAACCTTATTAGGTAAGGCTTCTAATATTACAATGATAAAAAAAAACAATCCATTTGATGTTAGGCTTCAAGTGCTCTTTCTATCTGATCTACAATACACTGTTCCCAGATAAACAGGTTTTGTTGTGCCAGTCTCACCTTCCTTTGGCATCTCTGGTGTTAATCATGTGGACCCCAGCAGATTCCAGCAGCCTCTCTGCGGCACCGCTGTGGCCATTCATCCTACAAACCAGAAGGAGGAGTTCACAAGGTTCCCACACAACTTCAGACAGCCGTTCAAAACATATTTGATGAGCTAGTTTAAAGACGTCCCACTCATTGAAACTATGAGTTTGGAAACTCTATGGCTTTTCCAGGTTGTCCATGACTGCAAGAACCCTGAGTAAACAGAGTATAAATGTTTATCTAAGCCGGTTTATTGTGTTTGTTTTGGCGTTAATACTCACAGAGCACAGTGCAGGGGGGTGAAAGGGTTTCCCTCTTCATGGATAAATGTTTTGAATTCAAGTAAAACCTCCAAACAGTCTTCATGTCCTGAGAACAAACAATCACACACACACAGTATTACAGACAACAGGTGTTTAAGTGAGTAACAGCAGGTTTGGAGATCAGCCGTTTCCAGTCGTTCAAACTGTACACACCTTTGTAAGCAGCCCAATGCAATGGGGTGTATTGTTTGTTGTCCAGCAGTTTATCTTGCGGGTCTGTCGCCATGGCGGCCTGCACCAGACTGGCCAGGATATCCGTGTGGCCTCTGGATGCAGCGTAGTGCAGCGGGGTCCTACCCTGAACGTCCCGACACAGTGCAGAAGCTTTGTGCTCCAGCAGGGCTGTCACACAGTCGTCATGGCCCAACACGGCCTGAACAAAGAGCAGCAACACAGAAGATTCAAACAAGAGGAACATGCCTACTTTCCTGAAGAGATACTTCTTATTCAGAGATTCATTTTTTTTTTAAAGTTTATAATCCATACTTGTCCAGAAAACTGAAAGCCCACATTAGCAGCCCACAATGAACAGACAGGTCAGGAGAATATCAGGGGCAGTACTCCTGAAAATATCTAGATATTTTCAGAAATAGAAGGAGCTGGTTGCCTGAAAACTGAACTAATGCAGAGTTGCATTCTTTCTAAAGGCCAGCAGGGGGCAAATGTGTGGATGTTTTAAAGAATCATTTATTTTCTTCCAAATTAATTAATTAGTTCTGTAAACAATTTCCCTAATGAGTTCATGGTTTCAACCCCTTGTTTTAAGTCTGAAGTCTCGTCTATATTTCATAAATTACTGTCACATTCACAGTGAAATAGATGACTCAACAGGGTACGCTTTAGGGCACTGCGTTCTTCTTTTAGACATGACATCACTGCATCCTGTTGATCGTGACACAGGGGTGGAAATATTTACACAAGCTCTAGTTAAAAAAAAAATCAACTCTTACAGCTCTAAATGACCAGGATGTTCAGTTTAAAGAGGCGATATGAAGCCAATGGCCACAATATTTAACATGAGCCTTCATTAACTGTAGTTCACAAACAAAGATCGATGACTTAACAGTGGAAATGTTGTTTTTTTTTAGTTAATGGTCAATGTAGTAGTCTTCTTTGAGTTCCTGCTACAATATGCAGACACGTGTGTGTGTGTGTGTGTGTGTGTGACCTACCCCTCTGTGCAAAGCTGTGCTGCCCCTCTTGTCCTTGGCGTCAGGCGAGGCATCCTTCTCCAATAGGTAGTGGACACAGTCAGTGTGACCTCCCTGCACAGCTAGCATCAGAGGAGTCCTAAAGGGGACGGAGAGACAATAAAGAGGTGTATTCTGAGACTGCATTCTTTAGCTTTAGACGTTACATTGTGTGTTTCGGCTTGAAATGTAAAACTGAAGCCATAAAGAGAACAACTCACTGGCCAAATTTGTCTGCAACGTTGGTGAGATCCCCCTCCTCTCCGTAATCAATCATCATGCGCAGGCAGTCTGAGTGACCGTTGGCAGCTGGTGTCAAAACAGAAAACAGAAAACATAGAGCATAAGCATAATCTTTTCACACACAGGTAAAGAATTATTTCTAATAAAAGTGGAACAATGCTCCGACAGCGTCCAGACGTGTATACCTGATACATGAATTGGAGTCCACATGAGGCGGTTGTCATTGAGGAGGCAGGATGCCCCCTGAGCTAACAGCACCTCCACACAGCGGGCGAAGCCTTTCTGGGAGGCCAGGTAGAGCACAGAACGTCCTGCGGCATCCTGCATGTCCACGTAGGCCGCAGTCTCCGTCAGCACGCGCAGCGCCTGCCAGTGGCCTTTGTCAGCCTGAGGGAGCAGAGGAAGGCCGTCACAACGTCAGTCAACTCAGTCAACAGCACGAGAAGGAACCGAGAGAGCGTGTGTTCAAATGTTTGACTCACAGCGAGATGCAGTGGACTGACTGGAATACTGCTTTCTATGTCTCCAAGTGCATTAAAGGACATCTCGAGGAGCTGAAATATAAAATGTACCATTTAAATCATTTTACTAAGAAAAGACATTCAAAAAAAAAAGAAAGTAAAAAAGAATCTATTCTCAAATATTTTACATCATGCACAGACTGCAAACAGAGACCTGCAAACTCAACAACACTTAATATTCTGTTTTTCTGCCGAGTGAAATCAACTTCTAAACCGGCAAAAAACAAAAAGGTGTAGACCTACACAGCAGATTAGCAACATCTCCGTAGTAAATGTTAAATCAGCATGTTTTCTGAAGTTTCATAGGCAAAGATAAATCAGTATTCTGCACATTTTTTACTTTTTCATCAATATTAATTCAATTAGCGGTAAACTTTTTCTTGAGCGATGTTTGCGTCAGTGTGTGCAACGTGTGCCATATGCAACATTCGGCTAATGAATCATGTTTCAAGTTAAACTACGAAAACTTGAAAACTCACCAACTCCAAGTTCTGTTTGTTGCCATGGTAAGCTGCATAGTGAACAGCGCTGTAACCCTTCGAGTTGACCATGGATGGATCAGCGCCATTGTCTAAAAGATGCTCCAAGCAGCTGATGACAAAATGATGGGAACAGAAGGGGACATAAAAATAGCAACATTTAGTTGAGGGGGCACAAATGAATTCAATGTCGAGTCTTACATTTCAATGCGTTAAGCTATCGTCAGCGACAGGAGAGGGGAAAAAAAAAAGAAAAGAAAGGAATTCAAACTCACAAATAAGACTCCTTTGCCTCATCCTCATCGTTCTGATGGTTCCCAGAAAAATGACGATCAACTCTGAAATGAACAGGAAACGCTTTGATTCAGTAAACTTTCCTGGGTCGGTTCAACATACAGACAGTCGCTTCACACGTGAATTTAATGTGACCGCTGGTTGAAAGAAAGCATGAAAAGCTGAGGCGGATAAGATAAGTAAGATTTCTGGCAGACTGAAACAGAATTTGGTGTCGTCTGTCCCAACTTGTTTTCAAGGAGAACACTGAACAAGAGAGAGAGAGTGAGTTTCCTAACCTGCTGAAGGCTTGTGAGGCTGCAGAGTAGTGCAGGGGAGTACAGCCTGTCTGGTCAGACTCATTGACCTCAGCGCCAGCGCTCACCAGGGTCACAGTGCACTGGTACCTCCCATTAGCAGCCGCATAGTGCAACGGGGTCCTGTGAGTGAGGATTCGAGACGAGAATCAGAACAAGCAAGCGGACACTCAAAATTACAACGCATCTAACAACGACGAAGGGGAAACTCACCTTCCCATTATGTCCCTCTTGTTCAAGTCGGTACCACTACTTAAGAGCAAGTTCAGACATTCAACATTTCTGGAAGGGAAGATTTTCCACAGAGAGGATATCAAGTTTGCGCTGCATATGACACGTGACAGCAGAGCATGTTGAGTCATTGTAAAGAGAACAGTGACAAAGCAGATTACGCATCTTACCCTCCAGAGGCAGCAGCGTGTAGACAGGTCCTCCCAAAGTTGTCAGGGGTGTTTATGTCAAACCCAGCCGAAAGTACATGCTCTTTACTCATTGAGGAAACTATACTATACAGCTGACCTGCAGGGAGGGGGGGGGGGCAAACAGCAGAGAGTCACGGCTATGTCCAAGCGTATATAAACATAGATGAACAAACTGTTAGTTAACGGGTGCACATGTGTGTAAAACAAAGACCAACCTGAGGAGAGTAACTTGCGACAACAGTCTGAAAACCCGTACAGCACAGCTAAGTGCAAGGGGAACATTCCATGGATCCCACGTCTGAAAAACGTCCAATCAGACACAGAGCAGGGAATTAAAATCACATGTTGTCACAAGTGTAACTTCATTTAAACACAACCGTCTTCAAACATTATCTATGTGCATACAAATACATGAAAGCCTTAGCTTCCCGGTGTTTTCACAACCTCGGTTACATCTATCACCAACAACACTTCAAGCTCTCTGATATACCTGGCCGTGTCTGCTCCGTTGGTCATCAGAGTGCTGATCAGCAGTTCATGGCCGTACTTAGCAGCAACGTGGAGAGGAGTATTGCCATACTTATCCACACAATCGATCTCCCCGCCTGACGGAGAGAAGAAGAAGGGAGGAGGGAGTGAATGAAAGACGAGAGTACGAGGAGAGAAAAGCCGACACGCTCTTCTCTTGATAAATCAGACGGACAACGCGGTCATCGGACGTTACCATTCTGGATGAGGATCTGAGAGCGTGTGAAGCGTCCGTGAATGGCTGCCATGTGCAAGGGGCTCTTCCCTTCTTTGCTCTGTGGAGGGAGAAAAACAGGAAATATATAAAAAAAAGTCTCATTATTTGAATATTTTATTTCAGACACCTTTTAAGATTTCAAGAACATGTTGATCACACGTGTGTTTGTTTGTTTGTTTGTTTGGGATAAACAGAATTTATGAGGAGGGAAAAAAAGTGTATTGTCTTCATTCCTTCTCCACATTAGACCCCATGTGTTGATTATATTACTCTGGACCACAGCTACACATTTAACACACACATTTCTTCAATCTCTTATTTGAATTCGAGAGCAAAAAACGTAAGTATGTCTAAATGAATTTAATCTTTGAGTTCGGCCAAAATGCATTGCACCACCACAACCCACTTTTACCCGCCTCTATTCAACACTCCTCATGACCATTCGTACCTGCTGGTTGACATCTGCCCCATTGTTGACCAGCAACTCCAGACAGAGGGCACCATTGGTGGAGACGGCGGCCAGGTGCAGAGGGGTGTAGCCGCACTTGTTGGGCTGGTTGACATTAGCTCCATGGTTCACGAGCTCGGTAGCCACAGCCTCCTGCCCCATGTAGCAGGCCACATGGAGCGGAGTGTTTCCAAAGCCATTGGGCTCATCAATCTGACAGAAGAATACGAATATGAGCGGACAGAGAAGACGCTATCTGACACAGCGGGATAATAAAACACTCTTGGTAATACGCTCTGGCATTTAATAAAACCGACGATGGGACAGCGTGATTAAAAATCTATATTTAAAAAAAAAAGATCTCTCACCTCTGCCCCCATCCGCAGCAGATACTTTACAATTTCGATGTGACCGCTGGCAGCAGCAGCGTGAAGAGGTGTGTAGCCTTGCTTATCCTTACAGCTCTTGTCTGCACTGCGGGACACCAGCAGCTTCACAACATCTGAATGTCCTGCAGAAGACGCACAAAGAAAAGGAACTATTCAAGTTTTTATTTGTAGGTTGAATCATTTCGACATCTTCACCGCAGTTGAGGCTGTGAATGTGAGATAATGAGACAAAAAACCTTTTGCTCATTCAGTCATTCTTGAGTCTTTTTACCCCCATCCCATTAAACAAAGTCTCTGCCAAAGTATTGGCTTCTCATCCGAGTAAAACTTGCCACGAACAATACGAGATTAAACTGCTGTTTGACGATGAAAATTTGTGCTGAGCGGCATTGGCAAAAAAAAGTGAAACCTGCTTACCCAAGTAAGCAGCACAATGGATAGGCTGTCTCTCCTTCTTATCGATGGCACTCAGGTTGGCCCCTTTGTTCAGCAGCAGCTTCACCATCTAAAAGCAAAATGAATGTTTTTTTATAAAGAAAACACTCACCATAACTCCAGAAACTCACAGAAAACCCCCCCCCAAAAAAACCTAGGACTCACCTCTTGGAACCCACTCTGAGCCGCATGGTGCAAGGCGGTTCTGCCAGTGCGGTCTGCCATGTTCAGGTTGCTCAGCTGGGTCAGCAGAGCCTCTGCGCAGCGCGTGGCACGGTTGGCAGCAGCCACATGCAGCGGCGTCTGCCAGAACTTGTCTCGTGCGTTCGCTTCTGCGCCGCGCCTCAGCAGCAGACCCACGGCCCTCTGGGGAAAGCAGCAGCAAATAAAAAGAAGCTTAAAGCATATATCATATCTGGTTTGCTGCATTTTCTTCCGTCAGCATTATGTCTTTAATGCATAAATCTAAATGGGGGCTTTTACCACTGTGGGTAGAAACCTAACAGAATTAAAGGATGAGGTTTTCTAGGCAGAGACTATTAGACTGTTTTAAATGGCAAAAGGAAATGAGTTCATTACGTACTTCATTTCTGGAAGCAGCCGCTCTGTGCAACGGGGTCAACCATACGTGGTCTTTAGCGTTTACAGTGGCACCTGCAAAACAAAACAACACAAAGCACTTTAAAAAAGGGAAGTCACAACGTCAGAAAGCCGAACATTACACTGCACGCTGAGCTGACAAAGGATGAGGAAGTCTGTATGGGTGCTTCCAAGGAGGAGAGTGTTTGCACCACATTTCCCCAGGTCAACAGAGAGAGAGCATCAGTAATGCATGAGGCTTACTAACCTGATTCAATGAGGAGGTCCATTACATGGACGTCACCCACACAGGCAGCAGCATGAAGTGGCGTACGGCGCTCTTGGTCCTGTGGGATAAACTCAGCATCAATCATAGGTGTAGTGCAAATATTTCCATATGGAAGTTAAAGTAAGAGGCCCCAAGTCCTTCATGATATGAACCCTTGTGCATTGAAAATAAGTGTGCATGCATGAAACATACCAGTGCATTGACATCCTCCTTTTTGTGCAATAATAGTTGAATTTCTTCAGCATTACGATTGAAGATGGCCTGGACCAGAGGAGGCTGCAACAGAGAACCAGCAGCTGAGTTATGGTTACAATAGCTTTGCATACATTATGGGAAAAAAAACCGGACAGGAGCGCTGTGATTCCTCCAAATGTGCCCTTTGCATCTCTAAATAGAAAAAAGCAATCAGCTGTTCAGTGAAATTCGCATGCTTTCATTGCGTTTACGTGTTATTTAGCGTGTTAAGTGTGCAGATTAGTAACCGAAAGCGATTATGCTTTCCTTCCAGAAAATATCCAGAGCCTCTGAGGCCTGCAGGCCCTCGTCTCACCACATACGTAAGCTAGCCAAATGGCTCCAGCTAGCTAATTCTGTGCTACAAGAGCTGGCCCTGACCCAGAGGAGGGCCTATACAGGAGCAGAAACAACGTATGTGCAACTGTGCTCATGCAAAACACCGCTAAACACGCAGAAATGCATCAGCATCATTCTTGTATACATGGCAATTGCAATGCACGTCGATAAGCTGCAAGTGGAAAGAAGCCGTTACGCAAATTAGACTTTAAATATTGCGCACAAGAGCAGATCTCTCCCAGCAAATAGACTGCGCCATGGCACAAACACGGATCGCTTTCTTTCCAAGCGTACCTGGTCTGCAATGTTGTGTACTCCCATCTCCCAAACTCAGCCAGGACGGAGCTCCTTCATGAGGATTTAACTTCCGAGGTATATTGCGGTGCGCTACTGTATCCACTTCTCAGACTACACCCATCGCTGGTTGCAAACAGAAAATGCGGTCTCGATCTGACACTGTTGTTGTCTGTATCCTCTGTCTGGTCTGACGATACAGGCTACGACTGTGCTGGTCCGCCTACAGGCGTGGCGGTCTGTAGGCGCCTTTTCGGGTGAAATGGCGCCATCTAGTGGAGGAAAGCATTATAGAGAAACTTAAATATAGTGCAATGTAAACATACTGATCATAGGCTGTTTAAGAGGAATATAATGTAACTACGGTGGCTGGGAGGTGCAAAGCAAAATTACAAAGTGTTTTTTAAATTTGAAATAAAATTACAAAACCAAAAACACTTACTTAGACTTTGACTTTCTTTATTGTACTTTACAGTGCAGATAAGAACGAAATCTCGTTGCATTTGGCTCGTTGTAGTGCAGGATAAAAAAAAAACAGCAGCAAGTATTTACATAGAAAAATAAGGTGCAGATATAAATAGATATAAAAAGAAAAGCTATGAGTAAAATGACTATACAGATCAATATATTGCACGTTTGTGATGTATGTTATATTGTATTTTACAGTCCAGTGAGGTAGTCCTGTGTGGGGGTTTGAGGGGGAATGGAGGGAAGGGACAGAACATATTTACAAGATGTGAAACTAGTAGCCTATATCAAATTGTATATGAATATATATATATATATATTGTATCAGATGTATAATTGTAAACATACTGTACCAAACTGTATTGATATAAGGATTGTATAAATATATAAAATGTAAATATAGTACATCAAATTGTACAAATAGATATGTATGTATAGATATATGGATTGTATAAATATATAAATTATAAAAAGTCATAGTATATCAAATTGTACAAATAGATATGTATGTATAGATGTATAAATATGGATTGTATAAATATATAAATTATAAAAAATCATAGTATATCAAGTTGTATATATGTATGGAAAATCATTGGATTGGAAATATCAAATATAGTCTTAAATATAGTATAGCAAATTGTATATAGATAGATATATAGAGAGATTATAAGGAACACAGGAAGTTAATTTAATCTAATAAATATTAATTATTGAGTTGTGGAAAAGGGGTAGGATTAAATAAGTTTTATACTTCTTTTTACTCCTTTTCAGGCATATATCAATTGAATATATGTAATGTGCTTTTTCTTTTATCGTGAAATAATTTGAACATTGTTTTTTGTTTATTGTATTTTCGTGCTTTTCATTTTGTTTTGTATTTTTTGTATGTTTGATTTTATTTGATATGTCTGAAATAAATTTAATTGATCAATCAATCAATCAAAAAACACTTTTACAATCGCTGAGTCAAATTTACAAGAGGCAAAACACTTTCACCAGTCCCCAAACAAATTTACAAACGACAGAATCTTGACGGAAAGGGGAATGTACCACGACAAAACAAAACAAACAAAATGACCCCCCTCACTCGATCACTTCTGGGTCACTTCCGACATTTGGTACATTCCCATTTAGTCAAGATTCTGTCGTTTGTAAATTTGTTTGGGGATTGTAAAAGTGTTTCACATCTTGTAAATTTGTTTTATAAGATGTAAATGTGTTTTTTTTTTCTTGGTATAATTGTTTTTAGTTTTGTAATTTTGTTTTCTAAAAATGTAAAAAGGTTTGTCAAAATGTAAATTTGTCTCACATTTGTAATTTTGCTTCTCACTTATCAGCCACCGTATGTAACCCAACGTGAGCTGTAAGTGAGAAAGCTGAAAACCTTAACATTACAGTCAGAGAGTGAAACCTGATTACCCAAGTAAGCAGCACAATGGATAGGCTGTCTCTCCTTCTTATGGATGGCACTCAGACTGGCCCCTTTGTTCAGCAGCAGCTTCACAATCTAAATGTAAATGTTTTTACAGAGAAAAAACTCCTGAAAACAATTAACTCAGGACTCAGGTTTTGGAACCCACTCTGAGCAAGTAGTACTTGGGAAGTTTTTTTTTATATATATATGCTGTTTCAACTAAGAAATATCATTAATAACCTGATAAAACACTCTTGTCGTCTTAAAAGTCACATTATTATGTATTCGTGGCCGACCTTAAATAATAAGGCCCAGACCTGACATGTAGTTCTGTTCAAGTAGCTCATGCTCCCTCTAAAACACATGTTTCCCTAAACGACAAGAAATATTTGTCTATATATCTGATTTGTTTTAAAATAAATTATATGCTACTAACATATGTGTTTAACACTACATGGTTTCTTTGTAAAAATATGAAATATGCTGTTTTTGCACATTGCATTTTGCACGTCATCATTATTATCATATAGGCTAGTTGATAGCATAATTATTTTCACTTATGTTAATCCGCCTCCCACAGATCAGAGGTACCAGTGGTGAAAGTAAATATATATGCTTACATTTCAGTAGGCAACTCAGATAACATTTTTGAGATATAAATTCTTTATTTAAAATGTTAGTAGCCCTGCTTAGACTTAAAAACCTAGCAGTGATTAGTGATACACTTTATTCAAAATATGGAAAGAAAACTAAATTAACACACAATTTCCCAATTTGGGATCAATAAAGTAATTCTATTCTATTCTATTAGTAATAATATCAATCAATATATATACATATATACTGTACATTTTATATATTTTTATTATATTATTATACTAGTCTATATTATATAACATTTCATTATATTACACTATATTGTTCATATTGCACTATATTATATTATATTATATTATATTATACTACATTATATTATATAACCGCACTCTGCATTACTGTGGTACAACACTGCCTCTCTTCTCTGCTGTTTTACATTACTTGCTGCTATTTTATCATACCAAGTCACTTTACACTCTGGAAAGAGGTTCCGCAGCCTCCGAAGCAGAACTTCCAGGTTCTGTAACAGCTTCTTCCCACAGGCCATAAGAAAAAATAATCCCTCCATTCCCCCTCAAACCCCCACACAGGACTACCTCACTGGACTGTAAAATACAATATAACGTGCAATATATTTATCTGTATAGTAATTTTACTCATAGTTTTTCTTTTTATATATATTTATATCTGCACCTTATTTTTATTTTTTATATGTAAATACATGCTGCTGTTTTTATCCTGCACTACAACGAGACAAATGCAACGAAATTTCGTTCTTATCTGCATTGTAATGTACAAGTTTGAATGACAATAAAGAAAGTCAAAGTCTAAGTTAATCACTTGTCACTTTATCTTGTCATTCTCTGCAAATACTGTCTCAATTCTCAGTTCCCCCCAGTTAACTTCATCATTTATTTTGTACTGTATATACCCCCTGTTTTTACTTTTATTTTTATTTTTTGTTTGTTTTTATTTTTATTTTTATTTATTTTTATTTATTTTTTTATTTATTTATCTTATCTATTCTGTTTAATGTGTATTTTTGAGCTTTTTTGTCTGTGCTGCTGTAACGCCCGAATTTCCCCCTCTGGGGATCAATAAAGTTTTATCCTATCCTATGACTCGTCTCTGTAATTGAGCCTCCGAACCACTAGGGGTCAGACTTTCCCCATAAAGCCGTTAAAGCTTTAAACTGCAGACCAACGGAGAGAAGAAAGGAACAGTTTGTCCCACCGGCGTTTTGTTTAGCAGCAGAAGGTCGTCCGCAGCTTCGTTGTATTTCACAACAATGAAAAGCTAATGTAGCACCTTTTTTGTTTTTTTTATTTTACTTTGTTACAGTTTTGTCGCCGGAGAGGTGGAGTGATGTGAGTTATTTGTAGAAAATAGAGGAATGCGGCCGTACGTCGCGTTTTGCTCGGACTCGTTATGAAACAGTTGCTAGCTGATGTTTGCTAACAGCCCGACAGCTCTGATATCGACTGGAGGCGACACACAGGTGATAGTGTTTAAGTTAGCCAGCAAATGCTGTTTATCTCGGGGAGTCAGAATTGGCTGACGCTGCGTGTTAATTAGTGAACCCTCTGTGAAGTGGATCGAACCTCGAATCCCAGACTCAGCTTCACAGACCCAGGACCCAGGACCCAGGACCCCCGCAGTATAGACTGAAGAGGCTGGTTTGATGGCAGCCACGGCCGGTGCCCGCCGGTTACCCATGGGTGTGCGGACATTCAGTGACTTCCTCCACATTGCCACCGTGGGCTCCCCACGCTCCTGCCGTACAGCTGTTCCTAGAGGATGTCCACGACAAAGCATCAGGTGAGCCTGTCACGCACTCTACAGGTTATTATTACAACAACATGCAGAGACACGAGAGCCACAGGGGACAAAGGAGACAAAGGAGATAAAGGGGACACAATGCCTCCTTTGGATCGAGAGGTATGAAGAGATAAGGTTACAGTCTCTTACTTAATCAGGGGAGTCACATTTCTGCTCCTCACGAGTCTGGGGCTTTGTTATTTTAAATCCCTGGTGTCTTGACTTGTTTGTAAGATAAGATAAGCTAAGATAAGATGTACTTTATTCATCCCAGCAGGAAAATTTAGGTGTTCCAGCAGCCAGCATACATACAAACACATATATACATACATATCCCACCCGTACATCAATCAATCCATGTTTATTTGTATAGTGTCAACTCATAACAAGTGTTATCTCGAGACACTTTACAAAAAGTATGTAGAAGACCTTACTCTTTGTCTGTTAACATTACAAAAGAGGAGGTGAAAGACCTTACTCTTTGTCTGTTAACATTACAAAAGAGGAGGTAAAAGACCTTACTCTTTGTCTGTTAACATTACAAAAGAGCAGGTCAAAGACCTTACTTACTGTTATATTACAAAGACCCGGCCTATCCATCATGAGCACTTTTAGCAAAGCAGCGAAAGTTACAGTGGTAAGAAAAAAAACTGTCTTATTAAAAGGCAGAAATCTTCGGCCGGATCCCCAGCTCATGACGAAACAGCCTTCACAGGCCTAGACTGCGCCCGGTTTGGAAAGGGATAGGGGGAGAGATGGGATAAGATGCAGGAAGAGGGATAGGGAGCAAGGGGGAGGGGGGAGGCAAACTGTTCATCATCAATCCATACATAAAAAAAACCCAAAAAAAACATGAGCCCACAATACATAGCCAGGATATAAAAACGTGGTATGGATGGTTCATGTGCATAAGTAGCTGTTACTCATAGATAACAGTACAAAATAGTAGCTCTGCCAGTGCATAGTATGATAGATAAATAAAGAATTATTATAAAATAAAAGCAGTTGCAAAATACAGTTTGGTATATGCAGCTCAGGCTAAAGTTTAAAAGTTTAAATGTCTTCTGTCCTTACTCAAAGGGGAGTCGTTATAAAGTGCAATTGCAGTGCAACATCTTAAATCTGCTCCTCGATGATATAGGCCACAATATTTTTGACCTAAGTAAATTTTGGAGCTATTTAATTGTGGTCAGAATTAGTTTTTGTATTTAGTTTACTCAACATTTGGGTGGTGTTGATTATTTAATTATTCTACACGTTTTCTTTATTTAGAAAATGTTTTGGGTAACGTTTTCTTTTTTGCTAGTTATTTGTTTAATAAATTTAGTTTTGTATTAGTTTTTTTGTTAGGTATTTGGGTAATACTGTGGGCACCGGAGATTATTTAAGAGGCAGGTAGAGGACCAGCATGCACCTGGGTGGGCCTATTGTTTTTTTTTTTACCAGATCAAGAGAGGCAGCGGGAGCCACGGTTTTCTTTGTTCTTCAGTTTGTTTTCCTCAAATAAGCCAGAAAAATACCGCAGCTCTTGCATGGACATTGGATTTCTTTAGCCTGCGTACATCACATCTTCATGGTGCATCAGTGGTCTTTTTTTTTTTTTAAGATTTTTTTTGGGGGCTTTTCGTGCCTTTTTAATTCAGAGGGAGGACAGTGGATAGAGTCGGAAACCAGGGAGAGAGAGCGGGGAATGACATGCGGAAAGAGGCCGCTCGATACGAGAGTCTCGACACATGGGACGCGCGCCCTAACCATTGTGCCACCAGCGCGCCCCATCAGTGGTCATTTAATTACTTTTGATATTAGTTTATTTAAGATTTTTTTTTTTTTTTTTTTTTTTTGGACAAATAGCCACTACAGTCAATTTCCAATATTCATTACTTTAAGGCCAATATTAGGTCATATTGAGAATGCATTTTAGAGATAAGCTCGTATCCTTTTATTTATTTTTATTTATTTAACCTTTTATTTTACCAGGCAGAATTGCTTGAGATCAAATGACCTCTTTTTCTAACAAGGCCTGGCCAAAATGGCAGCAGCAAAAAAAAAGAAATATAAGACAAACCCAAAAAGAAAGAAAGCACAGACATGAGAAAAAGAGACAAATACAGTCCAGAAGGTGAAGAAGAAGAAGAAGAAGAAGAAGGAAACAAAAACAAAACACAACACACACTAAAAGAACAATTAAGATAAGGATCTTAAAAAAATAACATGGACCGCAGATGTTTTATCAAGTTTTGATGAAGGCAAAAATAGCCGTGTTCTTCCCACAAAAAATGTGATCATATTCAGAAGGTCATTAGGGACACCTTTCTTTCAAAGCTTCTTTCAGCTTTGGATAAAAGTATCTGCTAAGTGAATTGTAACATTTCAGCTGATATATTGTTGGTAGTGGTACTTTTAATTTTATTTTATGAAGTTTGACACACTGTCACATTTATCATACTGTCAGAGCAGTCCACAATCAAAAACATTTAATATCATTGACTAGAGAAACATGCAACTTTTTCATGCTGCCAGCGCCACATCACTTGAGCAGTTAAATCCTGTGTATCATAGTGCATAACACTGAATCACAAATGACACATGGAAGACATTGTTCTGTTTAACAAACGGTTGGATGGATTTCTTGACAAAACAACTTATTCCGTTTTAAAGCCACAATTCTGAAGCTGCATAACTACCTCGCCAAATAATAAACATTACCTGTATTAATTGATTAAGTATTTTTTTGGAGGCCCTGATTTCACTTCTCTACCTATTTTTATTCTCTCTCTCTCTCTCTCTCTCTCTCCTCATCATGTACAGGCTACATTCCTTTATTCCTTTATATTTCCTGTCTGTCTACATCTATCCTATGGAATAAATGCAAAAGCCCCAAAATAATCTTTTTTATTATTTTATAACATTACTCTAAATATATAATTGTTTCAACACAATACCCTGTGATACTGTAAAGTTATTTAATGGAAAATTCTGCCATGCTTGTCTCCAATGAGTAACAATATATTGTTCGGTTTCCGTTTTTAGCTGCTTGTTAAAATGCATTTGTCAAGACTCTACAGCCTGGCTACCAGAAAACACATTGCTCAAAGGTTCAACAAGCTAGAGTGGATGTCATTGTGTAGCTTTTTTCCTTTTGCAAAACAGGCCCTGCTCAGAAAATACCAGCACACTCACAACACAGAAACCTTCTATTACCTGCTGGTCCACTGTTCTCTGTGTACTCATTGAGTGTATTAGCTGAAAACTGGAACGTAGTGGGCCCTTTTTTGTTTAGGATTGTGCCTGTGGCACTTTGAGAATTACTTCTAGAACCTGGCTTACGTGACATTTTCTCTCAACTTTTAGACACTTGTCATCATGTGGCATTTTGATGACAAGAACTCCCCGAGTGCTTTGCCTTCAAGACTGGGACACAATGACAGCTGTTCCTCAAAGCAGAAACTTCATCAGCCTCACCAACAAAAGGAAGGAGTACTCCGAGCGTAGGATCCTTGGGTAATTATCCAGTATGAGCTGATAACAAATGTACCCTCTGAAGTGTTTTTATTCGTTGTTTCCTAACCTTTCAGTGCTTTTGGTCCTAGCTTTTCAATGCAGGAAATGTACGATGTGGTGGCCAATGTTGATGAGTACAAGCTCTTTGTTCCCTGGTGTAAGAAGTCCCAGACCATCATGAAAAGAGCAGGCCACTCCAAGGCCCAGCTGGAAGTAGGATTCCCTCCAGTGGTGGAGAGATACACATCCATGATCACTTGTGTTCGGCCTCACCTGGTCAAAGTAAGTGGCAGAAGCTTCACTGAGTGTCTGTTCTGTGAATGAGACGATGTGTTGAATTTCTTTTTATGTTTTCAAATGGCTTTTATATGTAGTGCTGTGATTTAAACAACATGAACTGAGCCAAATGAGACACCCAACACATTTTATTTTGTTAAAGCGAGTAGTGGATGTGGTGTCAACTAGCACACACTGCTCAAAATTCACATTTCTAATCACACAGTTTTTCTCTTGGTTGTTTTTTCAGGCAGTGTGTACAGATGGAAAGCTGTTCAATCACCTGGAAACCATATGGCGCTTTAGTCCCGGCATTCCTGGTTACCCTCGCACCTGCACCGTAGATTTTTCAGTAAGTAGCCTGCAGTTAGTTCATGTGGTGATTTATTGATTGTGTATCAAACCTTTTGATCCTCTTTGATGCATTTCCACTCACAAGTGTGTCAGATCATTATGAAGCTTCAGCCCTCAGACAGCTTAGTAACTAACCTGGCTCCTGGAAAACAATTAAAAAGTTTACCTCATTACATCTATTTTTTAATAGCCATATAACAAACAGAAAAACACTTCATGTTGTCAGAGGTTATTTTATGGTTTTAAATGGGACAGTTTCTTTGCCAGGAGCTGTGACTTCCTGGAGTCTCAGCTCTGTGAGGACCATTTACCACAAAGTGTCTGCGCCTGACAACAAAAAAAATCCCATAATTATTTTTAGACCTTCATAGAGAACCAGGCAAAATGTTGCATCGTTTACAATAAGCTAGTTGTAACTTTGCATTTATTGTACAGAAATGAATGATATTGATTTCCTTAAACTACACGAGTAATATTTGCAGAATGTTTTGACTAATCCTCTCCTGCCGATTTGCACTAAAGAGATTATTATTTTGTGTCTTTTACAGATTTCCTTTGAGTTCCGCTCTTTGTTGCACTCTCAGTTAGCCACCATGTTCTTCGACGAGGTTGTAAAGCAGAACGTCGCGGCGTTCGAGCGGCGAGCCTGTAAGCTCTACGGCCAAGAGACTCGCATCCCACGAGAGCTGATGTTTCATGAGGTGCATCAAACGTGATCTCAGCAGCTCCAATTTCTCATCTGGCCTTAAATCATACCAACCTTTATTTTGTCCATCCCTACGACCCTGCATGAAGCGGCTTATACGACATAAACTGCAAGTCTCCCCCACTTCAGACTCTTAGCATTATGTTGGCGTTCTTACCTCAACATAGTGTTACTTATCTCCACCTCCTTGTGTTTAGTCTGTCCACTTTCTGTCTACCTCCACCTAAGGGATCCTTTTTCTGCAGAAGGAATCCGTCATTTCTCTCACTTCATGTCAGTTCAATCTGTATTTCTGTGAACAAAACAGTAAATAATTCCAAAATCATGTTACCAATGGTAGAGTCGACTATTATTTAAAACAAATAGCAGTGACACTGAAAAGAACATTTTTTTTTTTTAAAGTCTTCGACTCTAATCTGAGATCACCTGTCATAGTTCACTGTGACCTCAAGTTTCTTTCCACACTGACACTTCATCAGGTCAAAGTGTGTCCTGTTGGAGATCACTGTTACACTTGAATTAGCTCATTATACTGTATTAGGATCGCTTAATCTTTGCCTTTTATTTTACCCTTTTAGATTAAATATTTAATGTATAGTTTGAGTTATAGGAGTGATTTTGGTGCAAAACATAATTAATTTCATCCTTTTTAAATCCATTTTGTGCACATTTTACTTTTTATTGAGGATGGAGTGAAATGTGCCACATTAAGCATTGAGATTTTTGTCGCTGAAAGCTGTGACACTATAATACTATAATAATAAAAAGTGTAAAGGGTTAAATGTCCATTTAGATCAAATAGACTGCGCCCTTAATTGCCTTTAGGTTTGGGAATTGAGGCTTAAACTTGCCTGTTGTGCTGTGATGGTTGTGTTTTTGAACATTGAGACTTGGTCTTCAAATTTCAATCATGCCTTTTATAATACAGCCCAGCAATAAAAGATTCAGGGAGGAACGAGAGTCACTTTGCACAAACTAGAGCACCTAAATGGATCCATGGACTTACAGGATAGAACTGTGAACTGCAGAAAATTGGATAACAAGAATACATTTGAATTAAAAAAGTTTAGTACAGGTGATATCTACAGATGTAACGAGCAATGTGTAAAATAATCAGTCCAAAGTTTCCCCTCTTGGCGATTTTTTATTTTGCAGTCCATTTCCTGAAGGTCATCAGGAGGATGAAACTCCTGCCATGGAAACCGTGTGACTCTAAAGTCTACTGTTGGACTGTAGAATAAAGCATAATCAATCTTGACACTGTTTCTGGGTTTCTTATCTGATGGGATTTTGCCGCTTTTATTGAACACATTATGATGCATGGGTGAAGTTTTAAAACAAAGAAATGTCACCAACAGTTATGTTTGGCATTGTAAGGACATGATGTCTACACTTCACTGTTTGATTCATAAGTCAGTAGCCTGTGGCATTATTTCATTTAAAGGGCTCAGTTGAATGATTGATTTTTTTTGAAGGTGACAGATTTGTTGGAGGAGGCGTAATGGATAAGTCTGTCCTCATAACAGACAGTCTTACATCCATTCTCCAAGTCTCAAACTAAATCTGGATTTTGGTTTTAAAGCTGATGGGGTGTGTTGGGGAGTGAAGGGATCATCAATCATCAATGCATGAAGAATGTTTTGTGTTACATTGTTTACATTAAATCACTGTTGAATAAAAATAAAGAAACCACAGTTTGTAGGATTGTAAAAATGGAGTGTTATATCTTAAATAAAATCTGTTAACTATTTGATTCCATATTCTCTTCAGGCATGCTGTTCATATCGTTAGTAAAGTTGCATCATGTAAGAGAATGCACCTTGGCTAAAGGCTTTTTTTTATTTTGTTAGATGTTTATTTTCAGTATGATATAAATACATTGATTTTATGCCAACTTTGATTATCCTAGGAGCCAATTGTGTACATCTCAGACATTGAAAACATGTAAACATCAAAACTTTTGACAGGTTTGTGATCACCTGAGCCCTCCGTCCCTACACTACCTTCTGTCCTATTCTCACTCGACGCCTCATAGTGAACCTTGTATGTAAATAAGTATGGAAATGTATTACAATCACTGACTGAAGAGTTGCTACAATAGAATATATTGCCATATTTTTGCAGTCCAATCACTTATTTGTATGTTGCAAGCTAAAATGTATCTCTGTAAATACTGTGTGTATCTCAGAGCTTTATTATTTAAATAAAAAAGGCAGATGGAGTTGGTGTGCAGTTTCTTTGTTAATTGCCTTTCTGTATATTTTGCATAAAAAATTTAAAGGGCAGTCAAGTATATTTAGATGAGGCTTTGTCACTGTTGATGCACACAGGGAGAGGAGATGTGAGTACAGTGGCCGAGGGGACAGGCAGCTGACCGACAAGAAACCAGAGCACAGTGATGGTATGTGGGCCAGTTATTAATAAACAGTACATAGGAGAGGTGTTGTATTCAGACCTGGGATCTTCCTTCCTGATCTTGTCCATTTTCTTTTAAATTACCTACACAGAACTCTCATCAAAAGCGATGTCTGATGCCTTATTTCTGAGCAGTAAGGACTCGAGGTTGACGGTGAGAATTTGCTGAATAACACAAGATTCAGCTTGACCAATCAAATTTGAGCTTGAGGTGTCTGTTGTACATGTTTGCAGTTTCATTTCTTGTCCCAATCAAAGACACAAGTGCCTACAAGAATGAAGGAGGACATTTTTTGGTTTCTGGTTCAACTGTGTTTTTCTCAGTGGAATTAATTGGCACTTCTTTAGTGAGAAGTTGACACAGTCGATCTTATCAGCCCATAGTCCAACATCTTAAAACACAGAAGCAGCCCTGTCCAGTTACAGCTGCCACTGTATTTACAGTTTTTAAATTTCAGTAAAGGAAAACAGGATCATTAATATAAACCAGACGATTGATAAAAACCCAGCTGTATTTGACTGGAACGTTCCATAAACCATGCAACAAATGACACCAAGAAGTGTTAATAAAAACCTTTATTATTTTCCATTTTTTTGTTAAGTTTTCCAATATTTGCTCTTCCAAGCTTTTCTTGCCCTTTTGACCTATCCAGCCCGTCCCCAAAGTGTGTCTCTAATAAATCCGTCTGCACTGAAATCTCACGGTTATCATGTACAACCTTTATGTTCCTCTACGATCAAAATAACATCTCTGAATGAACCCCCCCCCCTCCCCGCCGCATGGAAGAACACCACATTAAACACACTGACACGCACACGTGCCCGATACAGCCAGAAGGAAGATGGTAGCAGAGCGGAGAGATTTTGAACGTCTTGAGTGAACTACTGACGAACAAGTATGAAAGAAAGATGCAAGAGCTTTAACTACACAAACATGGAGTGTCGACAAACCCAGAACTTAAGAGCAAGCTTGAAACGTTCAAGTGAAACACCTGGGAAAAAAAAAAAAAAGCACCGACTAGGCCCTCAGAGCTAGGCAAGACATTGTGTATGTACAAGATAGCTGCAGTGTTCTCTTTTTGTTCTTTGTCTGAATCTCGCAGTGACACCGGACACTACTACAACGTTGTTAAACTGTGGTAATCATTGTGGTTATTACAAGCAAGTGATCGCACAGAGCTCATACATTCAAGCTATACATATATATACCTATGTACACAAAGTATAAATAAAACCACAAAATGAGAACCCAAAGATCATCATTTTATACATATTCATCACAAAAAATAAACTCCGTAAAAGGGGACACAATCAAACCTGGAGGGGTTTCTACCGCTACTAATTAGGAAATCCAATCAAGCAAGTGCTCATTTTGGAGTAGTTGATGTTTAAAGCGCTCTCCTGTGGGGAATAACAAACACACACTCAAATAAGACAGAACTTTAGCTCATTTAAAGCCTCCGCCCCCACCTACATCCCACTTTCTTTTTTTTTTTTAAATTCAAGCTTGCTCTTAAGGATTTGTTACAGGCTGCCAATTACAACACCTTTTGCTCAAATATTCATTATTACTGTGACTGTACATTATTCTTGATTCTCTACCATTCATAAGACCCTGTTGGAGCCGAGAGACACGTTAAAAATAGGAGAGCATTTTAGAGAGAGAGAGAGAGCAAAGATAAAATAATGAGAAAGAACAGAGTTATTTTGATCATAGAGGTAATACAGGTCATCATTACAAGAATAAACAAACCTAAAAGTTGGAGAAAAGGGGGAGAACAAAGATTTAAAGGGGCAGTATCTTTTAAGTGGTTTGAATGTTTTGAGTATCTTGATCAATCAGCGTGTTAATTTTACTTGTCAGGACCATTTTATTTCTAATCTGGAGTGTTCATACATGGGAGTGAGATGCATGGATAGACTGGGTGGGATCTGGAAACATTGCATAGAAGAAACTAAGATGAGTCTTAACTTGGGGGAAATCTTTTGCTTTTGGATATCCTAAAACGAATTTCTGCATCAGCCAAAAGCAGGAAAGGGGTCTAAGCTTTAGCTCTAACAAATAAAGGAGGATTAATTCACTCCCTCAAGTCCCTTTGAAAGCCTCTGCCTATTCATAGTTCAGCTCCAGTGCCGATCAACACGTGTGCACTGCGCGGGGGGAAATCTTAGTGATGCTAGCAGACGTCTAATGGTACAAACTTTGAGCCTACTGCGGGTGTGTGTGTGTGTGTGTGTCTGGAGTTTTCATCTCTTGTAGAGATTTGATGGGAAAACAGATCAGTGGTTAACTAAACACACTTCAAAACACTTATGTTGAGACGATTTTAAAAGGCCCATCTTTTGTGAAATGACATTAAAAGCGTACTGTCTCTTTAAATCCCATTAAATCCCTGGGGTTGGAAATGACAGGGGTCACTTTTTGTCTGCGTTTTTTTTTTTTATATGTTTCCGACTCCTCCCACCCTCCACACTAACCCCCAAACTCCTTTCAGGTGTTTCTTCAACCTGACTTGACTCCCACCAGTGTCATCAGTCCATCTGTGCTCATGGACTTGGGGCGCTCCAAGGGGAAGCCCAGAGCTCTACTCCACACCAGCTGAGCCAGCACGCCGAGGGCTCGGGAAACGCCGAACAGAACTGTGTAGTAGTTCATCTCAGTCATTCCATAGTACTGAGCAGACAGAGGAAAGAGAGGTAGGTCAGGACCTGAATTAGTTACTAGACCCTGATAAATCGACTGATTATAGAAATATTGTAGAAATATTTTAGACCATATAATGCAGAAAACAATGCAACAGAGGCTGTCATTATGTAGTTTATCCAGCAGAGGGAGCTATAACCCCATAGACTACAAACTTCAGTACTGTCTGCAGCACATGTAGCAAAGGATCACAGCTGAGAAGACAGTTCCTCTGCTAGAACTTATTTAAAATTTAATTTATTTTACCAAAGCAGCTTTCTGAAAACCCCTACGTCATATTTGTACAACACTGGTGCAAAAGTAATTATTTAATTAGAGACATCTCGATAATCGATCCATTATTCACATGCTCTAATTAAAAGCCATCACAAGCGTGTTACCTGCAGCAGAACTCCACTGTGGGCGTCCACGTTGGGCCAGGGGTTCTTGGCCTTGCCCTGCTCTAGGAGCACGTTGGGTACAATCTTGTAAAGCTGGGCAACCAGCTTGAACATGGGGTCGTTGGGCAGGTGCTTCAGGGCAAACTCGCGCTGGCAGGCGTAACGTGGGTCAGTCTTCCTCAGGACAGCATGACCGTAGCCTGGCACAACCTGTGAAAAACAGTATGAACTTTCCTGAACTGTGATAAGATCATTCCACTTCTCAACTCCTTGAAATCTTAATGATATAATAAATAAAATAATGATTTGAGGCTTAAGAGGCTACAAGCATATTGACTAACAAATAGCCCAGTGAGTACTTAGGCCATTCTTTAGTGTTACTTATAGGACTAGAATTAGTTTTGAGTTTCTTTGTGTCTTTACCCTTCCAGACTTGAGTGTGTTCCAGATGTAATCCCTCATCATCTCATCAGACACCTCTCCACCCATCTCCTTCTGCAGGGCAGTGAGCCACACCAGCACCTCCTGTGATAGAGGAAAAAATACACATTATGAATTAAAAACTGAATTTCAACAGTTTGTAAAAACCAGGGCAGACTTTTCTTCTTTTTTTTTTTTCAACGGGCATCTTGAATGCTTAGTAGCAGTAGCCAAGTCATTGTCTAACTGTGAAATATGCAGTTAAAAGATTAAGCTAATAATAAAATTGGCTAAATGTATTTAAGTTGGAACTTTGACAACTTGTGAGCTTCCTCCGCACGCTGACAAACAAGCTGAGTCAATAAACTCAAAAATAGATTATTGATTCAACACTGAAGCAGCTTTTTCTCAGTCACATTATGAATTGTAAAGTATGAAAGCTAATAGATTTATTGCGTCACAGTAAGCCTGGACAGTGTGACAGCCAGCTGGCATGAAGAAACCAGGACCCTGAAATTAAACCGACTATACACCTGATAAACTCTAAGTTGCATTAAATGACATACATCTTGAATATTTTTTACAAGAAACTTAACCAGCTAAGTTTTATCTATTGACCTCATACTTGTGCTTTTAATTGAGACATATCAAAAATTTTTGTAAAAAAAAGGCCTATTGGGAGACTACTGTTCCTGAGAGCAGCTAATAAACAGTGCCTTGTGCATATTGTGTACGTAACGATGACGAATGCCTGGTACAAACCTGATTGGCCAGACCGTGCAGAGGACCAGCCAGACCATTCATGGCAGCGCTGAAGGACAGGTAAGG